TTACATCGATAAACACGGCCAGTATCTCAAAGCTATTAATTATTTAAAAAAAAAATTGTAGTAACCAAAACACTTTTCGCAACTTAAAAGCTAAACAAACCAGGCATTTTGTGCAATAGTGACACATACATTATTGGTCTTCCATACATGATCTACGACTGTGTTAATGTTTCATTAGCTTGAAATTTACGTTGAATTTTACATAGTAAACATTTATGGTATTATTTGCCTCTTTTCAGTCGTTTCTCTTTATTACGATTTTTTTGAAATCTGTTATTAAAAAAAATCGTAATAAAGAGAAACGACTGAAAAGCTGTTATTTTGGTTGCAAGCCGTAAAAAATTGGGAAGTAGCGGACAGTTTGTTTTACAAAAAAAAAAACACAAAATTGTACGGCATAATACATTAACCCGCAGTATAGTATATACATTTACCTTAGGTATATCTCATTCTGAAGTAGACCCTGATGGGTTATAATGAGTAATCACTTTTTAACCAAGCCGTATAATGTGCTTTCTTTCGCGCAATAGATAATATAAATAATGCTTTACAACGAGTATATCTACGTTTTTATGCAACAGTGTTTGTGTGCCACTGGTTTATTGCAATTATTTCTAAGCCAAATGATAAGTTCCCAAGAAAGACTACTCATATCATACCCCAAATCATCGTAGGTCACTTACTTAAGTAAATTTTTATGTATTCTCAGCGCCGCAAGGCTACCACAAACTAGGGTTTCAGTCCAGATTGTAAAGACGATTGTAAACCCAATGTCTTCTAAGAGACTTTTTCTATATTATTAATTAGGAATAACTCTTGAATAACCTATTTAATTTAGTAAGGTGTAGTGTTTAAATTCTCATTTAATTTGGTTTTTACTAAATAATATTTTCAACAAAGAGTACAATTATAATATATGGTTCTCAAACTGTAATCAGATAGATGATTCAGCAAAGAGTACATAGTTCAGCCAAAAAGTTGATTTCAACAGACAAATAAAAAGCTTGGATAAAATATTATTGAAAATAAAAAGATTGATATATCTACTATATATATAAATATCTACAATCTGAAATATAAATAATACATCCAAAGTATATTTAGCCACAAAGCAAAGAGTAAATTATAAATGTAAATAGGTTTCTTGCTAGAAGTTGTTTTGTTGTTCGCTCAGATGAAATATCTACTATAAATCTATGGTTGATCGAAGTAGAAGTTGCTAGAGAAATATTGAGAGGAATGAATATTGTAATGTTGAGTAACCTTTGTCGAAGTATTTCTTAACGAATTATAATAATAACTTCTGTTGATAACTATTATCAAACTTAACAATTTTAACCTGTACGTATTTAATTCCGTTAGAAAGGCGCAATATTCATTTTTGTCTGTATGGGCTGCAAAACTGGTGTACAAAATTGTATAGATGTATAAATGCAATACGTATATGTGTATGTTTGTCCACGGATATCTCGCAAACTAGACGTCGGATTGCAATGATTCTTTTTTATTTGATTCCTTAACTTTCAACTTAGGGTAGACTACAAGTTTCATCAAAATCGGTTTAGTAGTTGCTAAACGTAAACAAATAAATTTTAATCTACTTATAAAAGGAGTTAAAATTGACGACATTATTAATAACCAACTTCAAAAAAGAAGGCCGTCAGGTTTTCCTTAATATGTACGTCGTAAACAGGCATAAAAAGAGGTTCTTTACGTTTGTAACCGACCTTAAAAGAAAAAGTTAATCAATTTGATCTATATATAACTTTGATGAAATATGGCGCAATATTCATATATGTTAGTTTATATGCACTTCTAAAAACGTGTGCTATATTTTGTAGATGTATAATATGTATGTATGTTGTCTATATGTTTGACAATTTATTTCTCATAAATAAGACATTGGATTGAAATGAAGTATCATTTCTATTTTTCAACTTGAGAAAAACAAATGAGAAAACTTACTAATTGACTTAAGATTGGTTAGGTTACGTTAGAACTACGACCCAAATAAAAACGAATTGTTTGTAGAAAAGTTGGTTAGGCCACACATAACGTTTGAAAAAAAAATATACACCTTCATGATATGAATATCTAATGGATGGCTACGAAAAAAAAAAATTCTTTTTTTTCAATATGTCGGATGATAGCTAGTATCATTGATCACTCTTATAGCAAGGGTATCGAATGTGGTATCGAATGAAACTTTTACGGTCAGTTGTTCAAACGTCCATTGAGGTTTAATGACGCCTTTAAGCTCTAATTAATGTCAAACTTGTATGGGTAATGTTGCTTTAAACTAATGAAAAATTTAATGGACGTTTGTGCAACTGACTGTTAGTCGAGAAGATCATTGTAAAAACCTTTCATTATAATTCCAATATGGTGGACGCAGGCGGTTTGTGAACAAAGATTTATATCTTTGATCACAAACTGATCTCATTATAAAAAAAGTTTATAGGGACTTTATAGTCCCTATAAACTTTTTTTATAATGAGATCAGTACTTCTTAAAATTTAAACATACTAATTTCGTCAGAACATATTTCTCTTAAAGAAAATTTATGAGCATCGTTTTAAATACCTAAATATCAATATAGCATTTTGAATGTAAACTTCAAATATAATATTCGACAACACACGTTTTTTTTATATTCTCTATTTTTAACAGATGCCTCAAAAAATCACGTCTCATAATTATTGTATTTATATTCATTACAATGAGGAAAACCACTTGAGTAGTTTTTAGTACGCTGATTTCAAGGTGTCACCGTCTCTGAGGTCCTGAGTTAGATTTCCGGTCAGGCCAAAGTTGAATATGAACTTTTCTATATTGTCTCGAGTCTAGGTGTTGTAGTACCTCTGTTGTCTCAGAAACTTTGTAATACGCTGATTCCCTGAAGGGGAACGATCAGCCAGATCGGATGGGGTTAGACCTGAATGGTCGGGGTATGGAATGCGGGGAGGGGAGCTATCGCATACCACCAGAAGGATGCTACGTGAGGCCCTTTAAATTGTGCGGCCGTTACCCTGAGGGGGTAGCGGTCGGAGTGGACGGAGACGGGGGTTGACCCTGGGCTGAGTAACCTGACGTGCAACTGCGTGTCTATGTGTTTATTCATTGTTTTGATTCCTATTTAATGCAATATGAATGAATATGAATAACTAGTTCTTTTTTCAAATCAATGGAAATTCTTTGACTTTGAATGACTTAATATATTCTATTTCATAAAAAAATTAAAACACTAATATTGTTTCGATAACACTACTCATTTTATTCACAGTCATCATGAAATTCAAGCTTAACATAATATCTATCATTTACCAGTTTTGCCAGTCTATGATAAATCCAGCGAACTATTGATCTATCTTAGGATAAATTTACATTATATTAACGAGGAAGTATTTAAACAAAAAACATTAGTTCCCGAAATCAAACTAGATGACGCTATGGTACTTTCTTGATTTCTCCATGACAACTTTTCCGGTTTTCTTTCATGTATAAAAGTAAGTTAATTTTCAAAACTCACTCTCAAATTCTATTTGTATTTTTTCGTATTTGGATTGATATTTAAGTCTCGAACTTTGCAAATTTCAGTTTTTTTTTAAATATGTCAGTTAAAAGGAACCGAAATGACTCTATTTGGTCCATTTTTTCCTGCAAATATCAACTTTTGCTAGAGTCGCCATCTAGTGAGATTCTTTTTAGTGTTTTCTCTTTTTTAATTACTTCCTCATTATGACATTATGACAATATTCCTTAATATCTAAATCACTTTACAAAAGTCTTAAAGTGATATAAAACATTTAATATTTAAAAATATTAAATGTACAAAACATTTAAAAGTGATATGAAATTATTATAACTGTTGAATGTTTCATCCCGAATGTGTTAAGAGATTCGAACTCAATTATAATAAGTTGTTACATTAAAACAGTTTTAATTGGTAAATATTGTGGATTTTATATTGTAGAAATTAAAAAATAAATGGAATGCGAATAATCATAAAAAATATTTTTTTTAATGTTATGCATATTAAATATCAATAATTTGAAATTTATTGAAAAATATTTTGCGATTTTAATGTAATGTTTTACTTTTAATTTAATGTCAATCTAGCCTTAGATAGAATAAAAAATATAGCGCCCAAATGTTTAGTTTTTATTGTGCATTTTATGATCTTCAAATTATATATTGGAGTAAACTAATGAAATAACAAAAGCTAGTCTTACGTATTACATAAATTTTGTTAAGAAATCTGTATAAGTTATACATTAATTGAAGACTTGCAATAATTGTTAAAATTCGATTGCTATTATTATGACTTAACTAACGACTTTGATTGTTACTATGGTCAAAAAACTTCTTGAATTGAAAGTTATATTCAATGACTACCCTATCTTGTTTTGTCTATTAGTAGTATTCATCAATAAATTGGAGTCCATCAGGAAGTGCATTTATACATACTATGATTAAATATTATATACCTGGTGTTTCAATAGACTTAACAAGAACTACATGCCCTGGTACAACACAAAAATTCAGAGTACGTTATAGAAAATGACACTTTCAGCTGAGGATGCTCAAAACTTTTGTAAGTTTATTATATACTTTCTTGTTTTTGAGTGGTTTTGAAATGCAATCACCTTCACTTTTCTAGTGCAGTGAGTCTAGGCACACAGTAGGCACCGTAGGGGATTCTATCTACAATTATTTTTCCACATAGGTCCATGCTTTACACCTTTTTTCAATGTACCCAAAATCAATATATAATAGAAAATGTATGTCTCGGATTTTGGCAAGTTCATATCATTGAATGGCTCTTTCTTTTAAGATATATTTCATAAGAATCGATGATTTTGCTCATTAACCTTTAGTAGCGTTATTTTCAATTTACCTGTTTTAAATGCATAATTTTTAATTTTTGTTATTGAACAGAATACAAACGCCGTTCATTTATATTTTTAAGAACTTAAAAAAATATAATCATAGAGCTCAAAACACTCTTATTTATCACACAAATATAACCTTACAATAAAAAAATATAAAATTAAATTAAAACCCACTATAGCTAATAAAAAAGTTATTATATACAAACAAAACTAAAATAAGCAAACATAAAATCCTCAGGGCAGTATTACATATATATATATACCGTATTACACTTGCTTGTTTGTACGATTGTACGTGAAATGGCGAAGAACATGGTTACACAAAAGCAGAAACACCAAATTGACGAATGACATTGTCTCTGGCACTGAATTTCAATGAAAATACAGTGCGGTTCGCAACAAACGAAGATATATGTTGTTGGGTTGGGGTTATTGAGCGGGTGCGTTCAGCCGCATTCTGATAAAATTTAACGCAACAAGGGAGTCGAAGAAACGTCGAAACTTGAAGAGAGAGGTTATCGACCCCACCCAATAGATCGCCATCAGTGAAAGTTTTCGTCCGAGAAACCAGTTCGGGCATTCAGCCAGGACGAGATCCTTAGGCGTTTTATGCGTGAACATTCGTACCAAGCACTCTTTCCAAGAGAGTCAAGGGAGTCCGATCCAGTTGGCCAGATATTGCTGGATCTCGACACGAGCCTCTTTAAGAGCGGGCAAGTCACTATCGGCAGGCGGGTACATGTTCGCGCAATGAGCAGTTCCTGGAAATAGATTATAATTTTTTAATTCGCTATTTTTGCAGGACAAAATAATTTTAATTGTACAATATATTGTACTGTTTACCACATCATCATCGAGTGACCAAGAAATATCAAATTACCATATTTAACCTTGTAACAGGTTCTATAAAACATTATTTTAAATAATTAAGTTGAATCACAAACTTAAGTTCGTAAACGATCGTGATTGAAAAATACTTAATATATTGAAATATATTTAATAGATTTTTCATTTTACTTAGAAACAATACCTCAGATGAGTAATATAAATTTAAGACGTTTTTATTAAGATATAAAGCTTACCGTGAATATAAATAGCTGGAGCATCATTGTCTTTAGTCACGGTAATACCCAGTGCATGCCAGGGATCAACAGAGCCGTGGACAAACACAACGCGGCTTACAGACACATCCAGACCGCCGTATTTGCTATTAGTCCAAGCAGCGGCATTCCTCACAAACTCTTTGTTAAACCTAAAATATTGTCAATATGGAATATGGATGGTTTTTTTTTTATATATGTTTGATGTAATCAATCGAAATTCGCAAGAATGAATAAAATATTCTCGCCTCAGAACGTATTAGCGCTACTCAAAGGATACTGACACACAGTCCCTACAAAAGCAGTTTTTCATTATACGGTAATAAAGTTTGCAGTCATAGACAGGTATAGTGTTGCAATATTTTGAATAAGTAAAAATAAATAAAAAGCTTTCGCTATATATGTATTTTTCTAAATTATCACTTACTTTTTCCCAAACACATCTTCACATTGTTGTATAAAAAAGTCCAATGTAAAAGCATCGCCGAACACTTCAACTTCAGCTGAAGATGTTTGATAAAAACCAAACTCAGTGCAGGTTTGGTACATCCACTGTCGTGCTGCAAATAATTATTTAATTATTAGTTTCACGTTGAAAGTTTGACAAATACAGTGTTTATATGTTACAGTAATCACAGCAAAAGACTCGCAGTTTTAGATAGCGACTGGCAAATTCTCGTATAACCATAGCTATAAAAAGTTTTATTTATTTTTATCAACTAATATGTTAATTTTCTTTTATAACGTTATTATATATAATATTTCAAACATTGTGGTTTGTTTAAATGTCCGAAATAGCTTTGTCTAAATTCTATATTTTTGATCATATTACAATTTAATCAAACTTAATATAATTTAGAAAATTACGACAGCCAAAATATATAAATAACTAGCTGACCCGGTGAACTTCGTATCACTTACCTCTTAATAACACCTTATGGGTCTTCAAACAAGACTTACTCTAAATTTTAATATTGAAAAATATTGCGAGAACTGACAACTGCAACGTTTGACAGCTAAGAACAGTTTGTATGGGAAAATCAAATTGTCGTTTTTCATTTTTATTTATATAGATAAAACTTGAAAATTATAAGAGAATTTAAACCTATTCAGTGATGAAATCCATAAAATGTTTCAAAAGTTATGACTTATGCTACAGTTAGACGGTCGATCTGCTGAACTGCAGTAAACAGACCAACATAAAAGAGACGGAATTTCCAGTTCTTATGGGTTCAAAATAAGTTCTCACTAATATAGCGCATAGTGAATTTTCGATTGAGCAGAGCAGATTTACCATTATTCCGATTATGCCCGTACTTACGATTAAAATTTAGAGTAAGTCCTGTTTGAAGACCCATAAGGTGTAAAATACAACGCATTAAGCGTCCATCTCACACACTCAGCGGGACTCAGGCGCGTGGATATTGGTTGATCGCTCGATGACGTAATAGTTGGATATTCTGATTGGCCGACAATTGTCGCGCATACTTAACCGTCTGATGTGAGCAAATACATCAGTTGTATCTACTTTATATTTTTCTTTAATATCATCAATTATATTATTTTTACTTCATATTATATTGCAATGCATATTTAATTAAACTGAACAGGATTCTAAGAAAACACCCGGTTGTAGAATTTAATCTGATTGATTGAAAATATAAACAAAAAATAATCATTTTTAAGAAAATATTTCCATAAAAATCTATGCTTGCATTACAATACCTTCGTCTCCGCCCCATGTAACATTTCTCAGCTCCTTAATCATGTTATCATAGCTGTAGTCCAAGCAGGTCTGGTTATTTTTAGCCATGATAATTGCATTGAACTCTGCAAGCCTTTTGTAAGCAGGCTTCTCTTTATCGTTAGTAAGCAACTTGCAGATCTAAATGAAATACAATTCATTTACAATATAAGGCATGGAATTAGAAAGAGGCGGGACAGGTACCCCTAATTGTTACTAACAACGAAATGTAAAACCTTTAAGTCGAGAAAATTTGTGTTTGTTGAAAATGTTTAAAGATTTTAATGATTATTGTTAATATTATAAGGAATAATTGGAGTAGATTGAGTCGGATTCTTTGATCTGTAATGAATACATTAATATGGACATTCCTGCGAAAAATTGATTATTTTTTCCAAAACTTAACATATGAAAATTGAAGTAAGAGTCAAATAATGTTCTGAGTTTAAAACAGAAAACGGAATCTTACCTGGTAAATTTTAGCTTAACTAAAACAAACTAAAATTGAATTTATAGGTAAAATACAAGGATATCCTTAACACTTACTGAGTTAATGGTAACATTTCTATACTCCTCGTTAGCTCCAATCCTGTTGTCTTCATTGTATTGAACTACATCGGCGAAATCATCGGCAATGGAGTTGTAAAAATTCTTAACGTCGTCAGGAGAAGCATCTGAGAATTTCTTGCAAACTCTGTAAATACAGAGATAATAATAAAACTATTTATTATTATCAGGCACCTTTTATTAAATTTTGAAATCTAATAACAAATGTAATAATAAAACCTTTGATCTGTAATAACAAGGGTTCAATATGTTAATATCAATATTTGATACAATACTGAAGTTGTGTCTATTGCTTACTTGAATTCATTCTCGATGATATCTGGTTGTTCCCTCATTAAAGAAGTAATTTGTTGATGAGCTAATTTCACTTGTGTCACACAATCGTCATCTCCAGTTTTTTCACGAAGGGCTTCCACAACGACTTTAAAATATTCTGAAAATTGATATTACTATCAAAACCATTACCCATGATATATACACGCGACGTTTTCATCGAGTTACACATTTTTTTATGAATCGGGTTATATTTTTTTTTTCTGAATATCGCTAATAAAATAGCCTTTCAACCATCTATCTATATTCATATTATAGAAGAAGGATTTAATACACTTTACATTAAAATAAACGTACATTTTGAGTCATAAAATCGCATGATTATCTAAAATAAAATTGTAACTGCAGTTTTTTTTCTCGTCATGGTATGACGACTATAGGCATATCGGCAAAAGTATTTCTACATCTTTCAGATTAATCACATTCATTGAATAGCTTTCTATCCTTATTTATATATTTTTTGTAACAAGATCGTTAATTGGTCCTGTTCTTGTCGGAATGACATCTTTTATACCTAGTTGCACAAACCTCCACTAATAACGACTGAATGATGTTCTATATTTCAAATATTTGTATTGGTAATGTCGCTTAAAACTAATGATTATTTTAATGAGCATTTCTACAACTGGGTGTTAATCTATTAAATACTCAGTGATAGAACTAACAATCTTCGTCATTCTACTACGCATAAAATTACCTACTGCTTCAAAGGCTTTATTAAGGTTTAAAATCCCGTTAAATTTCAACATAACTTAAAGGCAAAATACGTGTTTATTGTTCCGAAATATATTTTTTCGGGATTATTAAATTGAAATAAGTACTTGCGAGTGCTTTTTAAACAGTTTATTTTTGTACCCTATAATTTTAAAATCCTATTTCAAGAAGTTTTAAATACCAATAATTAAATCGGCTAAAGAATATTTTGTCTTATCAGACTCCTTGAGATGTCGATGCCTTCTACAATTATAATGCTAACATAAATTACACCAAGTCAATGATCTCACTGTGACCACCTCGAGATAGCTTTATGAACTGTGTGCGAGATAACTCTATGTGTCAAAAATGTAATGATGATATTTGAATTTAATAAATGTAAATTACCCATAAAATTAACTTTCGCTAATAATGGGCCACTAGACGATACTGATGCAAAAATAAGATGTGGATACTTGACACGGGCCCATGCTGCTAGCGAGCCAGGATACGATCCACCAAAAGCGATCCACTTAGTATCTTTAGGCAATTTGTATAGTTCATTCATCTCTTGTATGAAAAAAGCAAGGTCGTCTAGTGCTTGACTTGAGGACAGATATTGCAAATTCTTCGTTGACATATCACTAAAAAAAAAATTACAGATGAATTTTTGAAATGGTTTGTTAGCATTAAGATCGAGAACTGAAAATATGCTACTGTTATCGCCATTTCAGTTCATCTCACAGAATATGAAAAATCTTAGCATAACATAGTGATTATGAATAACTGCCTAAAAATGAATTTAACTTGCAATATCAAATAAAAGCTTATAATAGAAGAAAATATGTTATGTAAAAAAATCCTTACTCAGTAGGATGGCTTTCTCCATAATAACGATGTTCCAAGTTGAAGCATAAAGCTTTGAAACGCTTGGCATATTCAATCCATGCACCCTTTACCATCCACTTTGGATCAGCTGGACCTTCTCCACCAATCATAATAAATACAGGGCCAGGATTCTTTTTGTCATAATATTTGTCATTGACAAAATAACGCTGGAATATATAACCTTATTTACTATAGTAGTTAAACAACTAATAACAAATATATTAAACAATAATAAATTTGAAAACGATTCTTTACCAAAAATTCAACGTAAACACAAATTGTTCCGAGTCAAAAATAATGCATATATTTAGTTTAAATATTCCAAAGTTCAATTCAAGATGTTTGGTTTTGTACCATTTTCCATAACAGCACTGCAACGACATGGCATCAATCAATTTCATACATTTTTCTAGGGGAATTGAATTCAATGCTACAAACTTGTTGTAACAAACGCTTCATATATTTCGTTTTGATTAGTGTTACGTTTGTTTGAGACTTTCTTTTTAACAATTTACTTGAGATTTTCTATTGGGATTAAATCCGGGCGATTTGCCGGCCAGTCTTAAACGGATATACGCGGTTCGCTAAGGAATTATTTACAGGCAAATGATCCTCCGAGTGGCATCATTGTGTGCTCTAAGGCATTTTTGTACAGCTATTGATCCATTGTAACATTAATCTTCCGAACGGGTCTAACACCACATCCGGAAAAACATCCTTAAATATTATTGTTGTAATTTATAATAAAAAGTATTGTTTACAGGACGTCTAACATAGCGCTTTCCATCGGAATTTGCCATATTTATCTGAAAATAACACTTTTTTCCATTCTCGTACCGTCCAATTAATATATTTTTAAGTGATAATAATCGCTACTCTTGGTGTTGCTTGATAAGAAGTGGTACCATTCGAAGTTCTTCCAAACAATTTAGCTTCCACTAATCTTCGGCGTATCAGTATTGACGAGACGTTTCTGGGGTTATTATCAACTACTTCATTCTTAATCTGATCTGGTCTGGAACCTTTTTTTAAATGGGTCTTTTTAGCAACACGAACGATTAGCGTATCTTCTTTGCGAGAGGTTTTTCTTGGCCGAACCTTTCTAAGAACATTTTCAACAGTTCTATGCGCTTAATAATGATCAATTGCATTAAAATTTTCTTCACAAACCAATTTGAATGCTATTCTATTTTTCTCAACACCTACTTTTGCTCTAAATACAAATTAACAATTATTTGCCTAGTTGACACGTCACAACTTTTATTTTGCCCATTTTAAACTAATGAAATTCAGACTAAATTTAGAATTGCCGCAAATATAGAAAAGAAACGGCCAAGATCACACTGCGCACCAAGAGTCCCGGCACAAACCCGTAGGTATTTATTAAAAATTATTTTATTATAACTAAAAATGTAAGGTTTTCGCAATTTTTCCTTTATCTGTGTTTTAAGACGTAGCTTCATACCAAATTTTAAGATACTGATTTCAAAGGAAGTACCCTGTAGGTTTCGATTTTTTTATGAGCTTCGAAAATATGCGGCATAATCAGCTGTATCTTTTGATTGCGTTAGCTTAGAAGTTTAATTTTTTCACAGCTCCAAGATACAGTAGACCTGCGTATTTTAGATACCTGAGGAAACGGATCTTGACAGACTACAAAACGGAACCCTAAAAGGCCAATAAAGAAATGTTATGCTTCAATTTAAAAACATTGTAAGCTATTGATGATTTTTTTCAAATGTTTCTGATTAGACGACCAAGCGGCAAGTAACTGCAAATAAACTAATTACATGTCTAAGACTTATTTAATAATAACAATTATGATGTTTTATATTTAAGCATTTACTGAGTTTTTGTTTGGCTATATTATAGCATTATTATTAATCATTAAAAGTATATATTTTTCACGAATATTTGTATGTTGAAGTTATACTTTCTTTATTCATAAGAAGTGTCTCAATTATGACTATCATATCACTGTATGTGATGCAGGTTTCCCACCAGGCCCAAATTATTTTCCATTCAATGGCAATCCTTTTATCTATTTTTTTAGAAAGAAGGAGTGTTAAAATGGGATAATTTTCGCCCATCAACCACCTAATCTGACAAGTATTTTATTTTATTGTAAAGCAATAAGATAAGAACATTTATTACAAGATTTTATTTAATAGAGTATTTTCAATCATTAATTCGATATTTTGAACGAGTAAAATAATTAAAAATCATAAATAAGGATCAGCCCTTGGATTATGTAAAAATCACTCAGGTGGCCGAATTCGAAACAAGAAGCGGCATCCGCTCAATCTTGAATTGGTAATAACGTTTCGTGGCATAAGTGAAGTGAGTTTCGAAATGATATAGGAATGGAATATCTGAGTCACGTATAACCAATCGCTAAATGACGTGAATTCGGACACATAGGTAAATTCAAATTCGGGTTTTAACTTTTACAGCATGTCCCCGCCCCTGTAGATCCTAGAATCTGATCTACTCCTTATTATTAGTTTATTAACATGATTTCTAGTATCCCTTGTTTTTTTTATTCATATCACTCAGGCCCGGATATACGATTTTTTAATCTTCAGTTTTCCAAACTCCACACAAGAGACTAGGGAATGCAAACTCGTTCTCGCGATATCTCGACCTTTTTAGCGAGATTGACCTCGGTCGAAAAATGGGCGATCTCGCCAGTTTAACGAGAATACACTCGAGCATAAAGACGATTTATTCAAAGTGCGGCAGCGCGAATTTGTGCGAGTCCGGTGTAAAGGTGAAGTTTTACCCTGTTTTACAGTTTCACAATACTTATGTTTTCAAAAGGGTCTTCTCAGTGGCTGGTTATCCGGCCAGCATGATAATAAGACGAATAGTAAAGATTAGAAGCTACTTTCAAAATTATTCGTAATAATGACACATGAGATGTGAACTGAATAAGCCTTTAAATTGATTGGTATATTTTGTTAACTTATTCTCTAATTTGTAATAGATCTCTGGATACACATTGTTTTCTTTCTTAAATATAATCTCAGTTTTATACTCAATTCAACTTAGTTAATGAGTTTTATTTTAGTTTTTTTATTCTTGTTATAAAAAACTGTATATCGCACGTTGAGAATGACAAGGTCACTAACCAAAAACGACATATTTTTTACTTTTGACAACATTTTTCTTTATTAAGTATAAACTTTAAAATGCAAAGATCCCTGTAAACGTAGCTTGCACAGAAACTGCTAGGTGGCGTAGTGACGATACGTTGTTTAGAGAACTGCTTACAATTTCTTGAACTTTAAACGCTCATTACTCAAAATCGCATTTTTTGCATTGTGTCACTATCGTTCTCAACGTGCGATATTATAATAAAACTTTTGTTTGATATTAGCAGAGAAGACATTTCGTGTTTGAATAGATAAGTCAAAGTTTTATTTCTTAAAAGATTAGTACCTGGAGGACTAAGGTTTACTTGGCACTTTTGTTAAGTCTATCGTTCTTACTGTTATTCTATCTTGAAGAATGTTTGCAACAATCTTATACATTTGATGTAGATGTGGAAAATGAGTCTGTATTATTTGAATTTTTGTTCCCTTCACATAGTACATGGTGATTTTTAAAGCACCAACAAACTCATAAAACCAAATAGCAAACAATGTTCCTACTATGAGTTTTGATTTTGATAATAATTTATACTGTACTTTTAATGTATTCAATAACTATATACTCACCATAACACAAATACAAATGTCATGGCTGTACAAAATTAATTTAGAATAATCATTTTACTCAAAGTAATAGGTACTTTGAGTAAAATGATTATTCAAAATTCATTTTGTACAGCCATGACATTTGTACTATATATTCAATGACAATATTATGTGTGTTTCATGAAGGATGGAGAACACGACAAAAATGTACAAGAGCTTTCTAAAGCTTTGTATTTTAATATGTTGAAGTACAAGGGTATCACCCAGTACCCAAAGCGCAGGTCAGATGCTATATAAACAGTTATTATATAAAAAAAACATCCAATAAAATATGGAAAAGATAAAAATCAAGTCATTTTAATAGAAAAGATGGATGAAAGAACTTTTTTGGTAAAAATATTTTTTTGGCAAACTAAACCTAGTTACATTTGTCACCCACTAAACCCCTTTATACTAAATTTCATGAAATTGTTGGAGCGGTTTTCAAGATTTTAATTATATATTTGACACATTTGAACTTAGAAACTGTTCATTAGATCTACAAGAGACGCCATTGTTAACAGATGTATGTTATTAAATTTCCCATGCTACCTTTTTGATTATTATTCAATATTATCTTTTATTATGCTTGACATGTCTTTTTATTTTATTTCTCAATATTTTTCTATTTTATCTCTATTTGTATTAATTTTAACATTATAGCTTCCTGATACAATTCATTCATTAAGTGATGTTATTATGTGTTACAATCAGAAATAAACTTTTTGATCTATCTATATATACAAGAATTACTAGTTTAGATAAACATTATACATGGTGCCATGTCCTCAGTCACACAAGTAAAGAAATGGTATAAAGTAAGAGGCAAACAAAGGGAGACACCCCATAATTGAACTTTGCCACATGCCAAAACTTGCATATACTATTAACTTTTAGTAGATTAATTTATTTGTTCACAAACCTGTTCCCACGTCATAAGATTCAAAGGGTTGGAGTGGTCCAACTTTTGGTTAAACCATCTTGCTATTGGTAGGGGTTCACTATGGTAGCCCATTGGTGTACCAAGATTCCCACCCTTGCTACGGCCGAGGTGGAAATTTTTAGCAGCAACAGCCAAGCAAATTTGTAACACTAATAGGAATGGTGTAGTCATTTTTATATTTTTAATATACCTACAAGAGATAAAAGACAAATCAATATCGATGATGAGATTGGTAAGTATTACGTCCTACTTTAATCTAGGCGTTCTACAATATATAAATCAATCAATTAAGTACGTAAATCTATGAAAGTACTATACAATACAAAACAAAATCAATGATCAGTTACGTTTTTTAAAAGCCCAATTTACATTAGGTATCTAGCGGGATAAAATTAGTTTCATTGTTTAATTTCACTAACAGTTAAAGAACGTAAAAAACTAATACAAATGTATTTAGAAGTTAGAAACTTTGCTAAATATAATCTGGTAACTTGAAACAAAGGAAGTAAACAAACCGCTTGTTGCACAAAAGAACAGATATTCCAGATCATCTATTCTATTAAATTAAATTTTTTTTAGTAATTTTTATCGTTATAAAAATAAAAACACCTACAGAACAATTTACTTACATTGTTCTTTAAAAAAAATTCCATTTGCAGCAAGTGAGCACTTTATGATGAAGAATCGAGGATGAATCGTAAATCGATAATACTGACTGGATATTTATTACTTGGTTGGTAGAATAGAATACATATAAAATAGAACACGCAGTGTTTAGATTTTCTTTAGTTGGCAGCAGACATAGGGTTTTAATAAGAAAAAATTTATCGACATCGTGAGAAGACTACAGTTCATATTGATGTATCGAATTGAAAGCCGATCGTAAAACTGTAAAGTCGTCACAGTTCTAAATAGTCTGTCCCTGTTGGTCTACATAGAGAAGTTCAAATCGACAAAAATACATTAACACGCTGAAGACTAAATGCGTGTTAATTAATGCGTTAATTTATTAACACGCTAAGTACAAAATAAAAAGGGTGCACGACTGACGCATTTCGTCCCCTAAATTAAGGGGATCCCTAAACCTGGTTAGGTGACCCCTAACTACGTTATTGGGTTTCACCAACGCTTAGGGGCCCCCTACGGTTCTAAAAGGACTTCTAATTTTAGGGGACCGAATATTCAGCCCATAACGTTACGTGACAGTTTATAAGAGCGTTTTACTATGAGTCATGTCATTTACTATGGTCACGCAGAGTTAAAATATTTGTTATAGAATTAAGAGAATGGATATCGAAGTATTTGATTTTGTAGAAAGTTTCGATATTTCCTCTCAGAAAATACATTATTTAGGCGACAGCGTATAATACGGGAACGACCGGATTTAGAATTTTTTTAAACGATATAAATTATCAAAGAATAGTGTTTTATTTATATTAGAGAAAATAGAAAAGGATTTGGTGTTTCATGACAATAGGTAAGAAATATTTTACTGTTTTAAAACAAAAACCTTAAAACACTAAAATCTATTCACGAAAATTCACATTAACAGATTTTTGCCGGAAACGAATGGATCAATGAGAGTCATTTACATTCCTTTTAACTAACATATTAAAAAACTGAAATTTGCAAAGTTCGAAACTTAGATATCAATACAAATACGAAAAAGTACAAATAGAATATAAGTTGCTTATTGAGTTTTGAAAACTAATTTACTTTTGTACACGAAAGAAAATCGTAAGGGTTGTCATGGAAAAATCAAGAAAGTACTGTAGCGACATCTAATTTGTTTTTGGGAACTAAAGATTTTTTAAATACTTTTTCATTACGTTGAGACAGAGAGCTATTTTCTACTCTCGTTTTTATCATGGTTTATATACTTAAGCTATTATTCTAAGACGTCAGTAATTAAAAACTTGTTACTTTATCAAGAATAAAAAAAAACTAATTTTTGAGCACTGTGAATGCAAAATTTATCAAATATAATAATTTAAAAAAAAAAATCATCTTTATCAAAAATTCAAATATTTATTTCGACCGTTTGTGTGGCACCCACCGCAGCTTCGACCTCCTCATTTGTTGAAAATTTGACCTCCAATGTGTTTTTTTAGGTTTGGGAATAAATGAAAGTCTGAAGGTGCCAAATCAAGGGAATAGGCGGGATGGGGCAGTAATTCAAAGCCACAATCACGAATTTGAGCCATAGATTCAAAAGACATGTGAACGCATGCATTATCCTGATGGAACAACACCTTCTTGCTGACTGGCATTTTCTTTTTGATTGTTTCGCGCAAGCGACGTAAGAGGGTGCAGTAATAAGCCGAGTTTATTGTTTCACTTTTTGCAAGGTAGTCCACCATGATGATACCCTTAGCATCCCAAAAAAACTGGCTTTTTTTGGAGTCGGTTCATAACGTTTTTCCACAGTTTGGATTGCTGTTTTGACTCTGGGGTATAGTGTTGTACCCAAGATTCATCCATTCAGTCGTTCATCCAGTCATATACGACGGAGCAGATTCTCCCAATGTTGTTGACATATCTTCGTGAATCTCTTTTGAAGTAAGTTATTTTTTAAACAGGTATTTAATGACCGCACGTTGTTCAATTTACTCCATTCTTTAAAAAAACTGCACAAAGGCTCACAAAATTCAGTCTAGTTTAAATAGGTTATTGCTATGAGGAAGTATTTAAAAAATAAAAATTAGTTCTTGTAATCATACTAGATGTCACTCACGATGTTTGGATTTTGTTTATGATATTCATTCAAATTTTGTTTCTGACGTTATAAAAGTAAATTGAGTATCGAAAATTATAAATATGACATCTTTTTGTGTTTCTTATAATATCTAACTTTCAAATTAATTTTAATTTATTTTAATCGTAAGTTTAAGTTGTTTATTATTTTATGTGTAAAGGAACGATGTTTGGTTTATACGTCAACATTAGTGATGAGCCAACTTATTGGTTACTCGTAACTTTCATCCGAATAGGGTATTTGACACTATCGAAAATATGTTGCATTTTGTGGTCATCCTGATAGATAATAGTCTAATAAAGCTTATTTCTTAACATCTGCAGAAAAAACATGTTTAGATTTAGTAAAATAACGTAAACAAAATGCAATATTTTTAGGAATTTATTCAACGACGAAAACGTCCTATAATTGGTCGTCGTCACAACCAATCACGATACTGTTTACTGGCCTGTGACGTCATCAGCTGTCATGTCAAAGTAGTGTTAGTATATAGTACTCGATACATACAGGCATCGATATTTTATACATAAAATATCGATGCCTGTAGTTATCGAGTACTTTACATATAGTAATTTACTGATAACAGAATACTTTGCCGCTTCTACTGATAAGAACTGCCAAAAAGAAATACAGAAAAAAAGAATCAATTACTAAGCTTTTTAAAAAATCCAAGAAATAGGGAAAACGCCAGCAATTAAAAAAAAAGCAACTTACATTTTTTTCATTTCTTGAACTTTACTATAATAATTCAAAATTATTAGGTCGATTTTGATGATATATAGTGTTCTCCAAGTTAAAAACTAATTTAAAAAATCATTGGTATCTGATATCTAATTATCAAATGCCATGTATTTAGTGGACAGACATACTACATGCATGTATAAAAAAATAGAATATTCTTTTTCGTACTAATGTCTCATCCATCTGTAGGTCGACAGGCTGTAAAGTGCGAGACCTGTCAATATATAAATGAGTCGAAAAATGTTAATGACAAAGAAAAAACCAAAAAGAAAACCTTCAAATGTTTCGATATGAAATAAAAAAGTTTCAATACTTTTAGCGAATCCTTACCTAATTTTATCACCCATCTCTACTCTATATAGCTACTGTACTATTGTGATTGTGCATCTATTTTCTTCTAGACTCGAAGTTTGTTTGTTATTTATAAAAGTATTAGTACATTGTGACACTGCGCACTACTTGTAACTCACTTTTTAAAGAAAACCAGAGCAGAGAAAAATAAAAAACGTAAAAATTACGCACTACGACTTCAATTTCTCTTTTAAATTATTATTTCAATTTACTCTAGGGATGATCGATATTCATCGATGTTGAATAAATATCGATGTTTTGTCATCGATGTTTTAATTGGATAACATCGGCACATCGATGTTTTCGTGCCAAACATCGATGTTTATGAATAAAATGTCAAGATACCCTTTGGGCCATCTAACATGCTCCAGATGTACTAGCTAGATGATCTCGTATATTAAGTTCAACTATTTTATACTAGATGTCACCGGTTGCACTCGTAACTGGAATTGCGTATTCAAATATTTTTTTCTTTGCTTGCATTTTCCTAGGAAATTAGAAATAAATCTGTCATCTTCAGCGCTCGTTGGTATCTTATAAGTTACTTTATTCACCGGTCTTAGTTTCAAAGATCAGTATATTAGATAGTTCCACGTGCGAGTGCGGAATATAAAAAGTACCACTAATCCCATCCTCTTCAACTGTCTGAAACAACCTACTTCATATGAGCAACTTCCATCTAAAACCCCTGGTCCCATTAACCTTAATACTATCTTGTCTATTTCTAGCATACCTATCTTTTTGCGTCTTGTAAGTATATTAAAAAATATAACAATGCACTATAATCAAACACATGGCACTATCATATATTTAATAAGATATTTTTTAGTTAATTTATTAGTACAATTTGTGACGATTGCTTAGTGTTGTACTTTTAGAACAAGGGAGGAAGAAAACTATTCAAAACCGTTTCTCTTTATCCCGCAAAATTTCTGTGTAAAACGGAAAAAGATCATTTATGTATATAAAAAAAAAAGTTACTTTATGCTCGTTGGGCTCGTTCTCTCTCCGTGAAACTCCTGCGTGATTTTTTATGACACGTTTTATTCCATTACTTTTATGTTAAGGGGTAGAATCCACCTATCCCACATTGAAAAAGATTGTATTAAAATATTTATGTTGCACAGCGACTTCCACGGATTCAGAGAGGCTTTTTTCTTAAGCTGGTCAATTCCTTTAACAGCAACGCAATCGATGTTTGGGGAACATCAATGGTTTTCATCGAATGTTGACTTCGATGTCAATATCGATGTTTTTCCAATATCGATCATCCCTAATTTACTCTGAAGACAGTTGTTACTTATCGATTTGACATATTTACTGGCCTGTGACGTCACGATCAGCGCCATAACATAGAGCAGCGTTTTTCGCGCGCTTTTGGCTATTTAAATTTTAACAATTATTTTCACCGAAAATAGAAAAGATTCGAATGAAATATTATGACAGTGTGTTTATAATGTAGCAAACAACGATTTTAAATAGTTTTCACAAAATGTGTCAAATACCCTATTCAGGTTTGGAATGAAGAACAAAAAGCGGAGCGCAGAATTCAGCTTTGTATTTGTATGTGTCATTGTCATTATGCATCCACACAACGAATGATATTAATATAAATATCAAAATCAATTCAGTCTAGGCTGTTACATAGTACTTGTGAAAGTCGAAAACTTTAGCAATGGTTCGCAAAATTAAGGCGGGAGATCTTGTACTGACAAGAATCGGCAAGAAATTCAGCATTTTTTTCCATGTTTTATTTCACACAGAAAGGTCCTATTGGAATGGCACTTAATAAAACTGTCAGTGGGGGTGAGTCTGCACCGGACTACTTAATTTCGTCCACTTTCTTATATTATGAATATTGATTTGTACTCATTCATGTATGTATGATATATGACTTCACAGTATAATTAAATCCTACATACTCATTGACAAATCAATATTCATAATAAAAGAAAGTGGACGAAATTAAGTAGTCTGGTTCAGACTCACCCCCACTGGCAGCACCCGTTGACGAGCTTGACATATGAGCCAGCCATCACTTCGCTCAATAGGGTATTTGACACTTTCCTGAAAACTATTTTAAATCGTTGTTTGCTACATTATAAACACACTGTCATAACGAATACATGGATATCAAATATTTGAATCTTAACATCAGTGGTGGTACATTACATTCCACCTGCATTGATATTATGGGAGTGGAACACATTGCTCCAACAATTATACATAAGCATCTATTTTGGATTTTTTCTAATTAGTCTACTAGTTTTGTTTCACCTGCATAGCAAAAGAAAGCACATACAAAGTGGCTTCTTACAAGTGACTTATATAATATAAGTAAAATCTTGGGGTCAGAACCCCAGTATAGACCTGCTAAAGATTTTAATATGTTACAGGCTTTTGTTGCACGGTTTATCAAGCAATAGACATATTCATTGAATTTAAAATTATTTTGATATATCACTCCCAAGAATCTAATATTATTGACTACAGGTAATAAATTTTTATTATAATATATGGATATATTTACATTGTTTAATAACTTTTTTGAAAAGATTTTTCTTGAAAATTTCTTCAAATATTCAACATCCTTTAGTTGGAAAACTTCAACAATTTTTGGCAATCAATGCTTCCTCATTAAATTGTTTATTTTTACTTCAACATTTTCCTGAAATATCAAAATTAAGACATGAATACAACATATTTATCAGTTCTATATGGCCTTGCTATGAAGGTTGCTTTATGTCAAAACTTTATCCCATTTCATTGATAGGATATCAATTTTATTATATAACATCACTTTTATTTTTTAAAGTCCTATTTTCATTGAAAGGACTTTAAAAAATAAAAGTGATGTTTATTGTTTATTAGAAAATTGGATTGGATTTCATCAATTATATACATATGGTGCAAAAAATTGCAATAATGTTTCTACAGCTATTTATGATATGCAAAACAGAAGAGGTTACGGGTATAAACTCCCTAGTATTGCTAATGTTTTTACAGCTGAAAGTTATGGTGTACTCAAAGCCTTAGAGTATATTGAATCTCAGAGAGAGGGCAATAATTGTGGTGATAATTGGTTGATAGTTTCAGATAGTATGTCTGTCTTACAGGCCTTAAGTAATCCAAACTTTAATACTTCAACTAGCTACATAATTCATAAAATATGCTCAAAATATTTAGATCAAACAATATCATTTAAATTAAATATCATCTTGGTATGGTCACCAGCACACATAGGTGTAACTGGCAATGAACAAGCTGATTATTTGGCTAAATCCATAACAAATACATCTTATAATATTCCCATCACAAATATTCAAGTACCTGACTCAGATATCTTAGTAAACAAAAAGAAAAATGCGTGATGAGTTTGTAAATACTTGGGAACAAATCACTCTAACCAAGGGAAAATGGTACAGGCAAATAAACAAAAATATCACAAAACCTTGGTTCTCTTTGGGATCCCATTTCAGTGGTAGAAAATATTATACTATAATTTCTCGTCTCAGGCTTGGACATTGTCGTTTTAATGCTCACCTTCATAAAATAAATATAGTGTCGTTACCTATCTGCAATTATTGCAATTCAAGTAGCCAAACTTTGGATCACCTTTTCTTTGAATGTAGTCATTTTGCTCTTGCTAGGATTCTTTTCATAGATCGCCTTCTGGAGATTTATCATAAACCTGAAAATATCCCGCGCACTTTCCAGCAATTATTGAATAATCAAAGTTGTTTTAGACCTATTTACGACTATGTTGTATCAACTATCGGAGATATATAAAATTTAAATTATGACATAATGGACAAAATGTGAAATATTTTGATCTGACATTTAACTCGATTTGTGACATTATATTTTGATTATACTTTTACAGTACAAACAAACTTTTACAGCTTTTATTCTTCATATCGTTGTTTATTATTAAAGACATGGCTACGGCCTATTTTTTTCTATGATATCGAAGAAAAATTTTGTACAACAGACAATGGCTGTATGGGCTAAGCTCTCTTCGCCTTTCCTTTAAGGAAAAAATCTACCAAAAAAAAAATATCTTTGGTTCACGGTGACATAGGTTATCTTTGGTTCACTTGCGAATACGATCGATCGCGAGGAAGGTGTAGTTTTTGTGTGCTCGGCGGGGTTTCAAAAATGGCTCTTTTCAGGATTACCTCTACGAAATTGATAGATTTACAGGTAAATATAATAAATAATTGTATATAAGTTTTGTCGAAATAAGTCCTATTTTTAATTTACATTGTTAGTTTTTATAACCTTACCTTCACTTTGAAGTCGCGAAGTAGTTATGTAATGTGGATAAAAACTATTTTCGGGATGCTATGCATAAGTTTTGTAAATTTACCAAAGGTGTTTTGATATTAAATCTGATAAAACAAAATCATTTTCTGAATATTATATGTAAGTATTCCCTCTGCATTTGGCGCCCGAAACCAAAGCGTTACTTTTGCATTTGTAGTTAGTTTATCTCCCTATTTAAAAGAAAGAGATGCAAGTCTGTAACAGAGATAATTTTCTTAATTTTTTTTTACTTGTGTTTTTATATTTAAATTATCATTGCATGCTCCTCTTTTTACACACGTATACGATAATCGTGCAGCATCACTCACGCGCTACAATCTAGTCAGGTGTTTTCTACACGTGTTACATGCATTTCTCAAAGATTCATGAATGGTTTCGTATAAATTTGAAGAATTTTATTTATGTTAATTTTATTTCTAGTTGTATTTCTGCATCTATGTAGCATGTCAATCTTTTCGTATAGTTAATTTATAAAGGATTTTACCTAATTAAATTAATTATTTAACAAATTTTATTAAATTTAATGATACTAATTAATTTTGTTATGAAAATAAAAATCATCAGTGATTTAATTATTAAATTTGAATATTTTTATGATGTAGAAAAGTACTTAATCCACCGTGACAACATGCATATATTTTTATTTGTGGGTATATTTTTTGTCTTGTTATTTAACTTCTCAAGTCTTATATAATTTTAACCAAACTGATACAAGTTAATTGAATTCTTCTGTACGATTCTTTGAAGTCTCTACAGAAAGAAATACTAATTAAACTATGTGAAACTATTCAGATAGCCAATATCTATAATTAGCTATTCACCAGGGTCACTCATAGTGTAATTCTTGTTGACTTAATGATAACAGTAGTAAGTTTGAGGATCAATGTCATTGTGATTATTGTATTCCAATTATAGAGAAACATACCATGCAACAATTTTTTACTGTAATATAAATTTTATCATATCTTTTAATGTATGCTTGCAAGCTCTTGTGAGAATGATTTCAATGACATTATCAAGCTCAATGACATTAGCAATCCTCCGCTGTGCATTGAGTCTAAAGATAAATACAGGTCATACTCTCATGTCGGGCACAGACCCAAATATCTGCCTTATGCGTGATTGTTAAGTGCCGGCCATGTTGGTTAAGTTATTTGATAATCTGCTTGATAGCAGATTATTGAATTAAAAATTAAATATGGACATTTATTAATTTATATAAAAATAATTCAAAGTTTATTCACTTTTTTTATATACATTGCTTTAAATAAATTAATCATATTGGTATCCAAGATGTTTCTATATTCATCAATATGACCTTGGACAATATATATAAATACAAACAAGCGAGGGGGTTAATGCTACAAGAATCTATAAACTCACAGCTCATGTGAGTGATTTTTTTGGAATAATTAAATCCTACAAATGGTTTTAGTCCCACAAGCAATAAATAATTCAAATCTTGCATGTGTTAGAGATGCATTTACAAGTGTATTAATAGCATATGGCAATAAGATGTACTTGCATACATCTTTGATAATTGTGTTTGATGATGGATTGTGCACAATTAACGACTTGTAACATCTTAACGTAGGGCAGATGGCATTGTATCAATATTGAAATATATTCATTCTCACGGTTCATTATAGTGGATCAATTTTGCATTCAAAATGATATACTGAAAATATTCTTAATGAAAAATGTTTAAAAAAAATACAGGCAGTCCTTGATTTAGGTTTTTTCAAGTTACGTCAACAATTTTTGACACTGTTCGTCAAGCATCCGCGTTTGTTTCGATTTCCGGCATAGGAGAATTCACTTGTCACGAGGTCAATGTCCGTAGGGTTTTAATGTTAATAACAAAATCTGTACAACCTACCAAGTTACCAAAACCTGTATGATAGCAAGAAGAATGAAGCGAAGCAATCGAGAATTGATAGTTTCTTTGAGGCAAAGTTTAATTTATTATTTCTCATTGCATATTTTGATTTTTAAAGTTTTATTTTTATTATTGAAATACCAAAAATAACTAGCAATTTCATAAGTACATTTATAATTATTTTAAGTTGAATAACTTACTTTTTATAATAAAGTATGTATATCCTTGTTATAAATATAGTTTTTTTGTTTATTTTGAGTCCATGTGGAACTTAACTCTTGAGTTTTACATGTAAACATATGAAAAAATATCTCTCGACTTACGTTGTTTCGCTTTACGTCGCGTATTTCGAGAACCTAACATGCCGTAAGTACGAGGACTGCCTGTACCCAATTTGTCCCTGGCATACCATGTTGAGAATACCAGTCATGAAGTTGATTATTTAAGCATTTTTCACTAACAATATTTTCAAGTATGCTTCTAATAAAGTTGTCAAAATATATAAACAAACATTTCTAAGAGTAATTTATTGAGATTCTTACACTTGATCAATTTCTTATTTTAATAAGAAAGCTTGTAGAAAATGGTTTTTACTTTTAGCATAATTTCTGTTCAAAAGAAACAAGATAGGTGGTTAAGTGACGTCAATCATGAGATAACACAACTTCTTATCCATGCTTATCATTAATGTGATTTTTAATTATAGCTGACATATTTCATGAAACTCAACTCTAAATTATAACTAACACATTCGCTGTAGAGATTTATGACAATTTACTGATTAACAACCTTAGATATAATATAATTGATTAAAATATACCATTTTTAGTATACTGATATACTCATATATATTGTATTTGATATATCTAAATGACTTGTCTAAAATCCGTGAGTCAGACGGCATTAGACAAGCTTGACGGCGCAGTGGTTAGCCCATTCGGTCTTCGATACGGAACTTAAACGACGGTTGCAATTGCCTGTCAATGAAAATTTATTCAAGTTTCGCAAAGCACTTTGATCACGGCTGCATCCAGATGTATATTAAAGACTCCAGAGTCTTTAACACCCTCCAATCCGCTCTGGATCCCCGTGATGAGTCATGTTCATTTTCCTAGCTAACTATATTTATTAGGTGATTCCCTCATGCAAAATCAAAGTTAACGATGGATGAACTACAAAATAGTTAATACATATGTACCTAACTATAAAATACAAGATCTACATTAAGGAAAATTTTGTTATTATAAGGTTACAACCAGGTAACAGAGGATTCTTACATAATTCTACGAACGGCCTTATTTCACTTTGACCTTACTTGAGCATGCGCCGTGTCCTCAATGAATGGTTTTTACCTTGCCACCTTTATTTTTCAAGACCTTAGTAACTTAAGTACAATATTATGTACAAAGTAACAAATAGGCCATGCTAATGAATCCATTTTTTTATTTGTTTAGAGTCCATTTAAAGTTCAGGTTTTCTACATAATATAGATAGGAATAATAAAAATGCTATGAGCAACTGAAATTTGAGTGGCATTAACGTCTAAAAAAACTATATTCAACAAATCTTACTGTAAAGGTACTTTGGAATCGTGAATTATAAATAAGGTTTTTACATATTTAAAAGACTTAAAAATCGTAAATGAGGAGGTTAGGAGGTATATTTGACGGCGCGACGATGTACTTTTTTTCTAGTATGACTGAAAAAATATACATTTATTATAATATGTTTATATTTTATTGCGTTCATGAAAAATATTTAATAATGATGAAAACAATATAAAAGATTACTACAAACATAAGAATCAGCAGTTAGGATGTTACACACAAACTGAGTTTTATTTCTGGTTTATACGAGGTCACTTATAAGATGGAGTTCATAGTAGTTTACGTCAAATGATTCAGAAGTAATACTTTAGTCGTAGTCGATCACCTTGAACGTTCTGAGTTAGTTTCGATAAATATTTATAATAAAAATGCTATGACGTGAGCAACGATTAAGAACACGTATAATAATTCCTCATCGATATAGAGAATCCTTGTAAGAACGGTTATTAATATGTACCCAGTTCTTAACAGAAGTTATGTTTCATTATAACAGGGAGACTAGTGTAACCAGAATAGAAATACTTAATATAGGTTTTTTTTTGGGATAAAAAAAATTATAACTATTTGTTTTTTTCCGTGTGTAAAATGTATGAAATTAGGCGAGCGTGTCTTTACTTTACTCTCGTTACGTATTTGTATGTGAATTTAAGCGGAGGCACAAGAGGGCCTTAAGGCGTTGTTGAAGCTGTGCACAGCGACTTCTGCGTATATTTGGGAGCCTGATACAATCAAGGAAATTTTTATGTAGTGTACATAGGTATGAAATAAAAGCTTCGCGTCTGAATGCAACAAACACATTCATTCATCACCATCACCAGCCTTTTTACGTCCCCACTGCAGGGGCACAGGCCTTCCTTATGGATGGTTAAGGAGGATGGGCCATGACCCTCCACGCTGGCCCAATGCGGATTGGAGGGTATTAACGACTGCAAATGCAGCCGGGACCAACAGCTTAACGTGCCTTCCGAAGCACGGAGTAGCTCGAGATAATAATTTTTTGGTCACCCATCCCGTGACCGACCCTTGCGAAAGTTGCTTAACGACAACGATCGCGGGCCACGGCGCTTATTCACTATGCCACCGAGCTACTACAAACACATAAGACTAAATTTATGCTTTTCAATTTATATGAATTAATTCATGATGAATGTTTAGGTATGCAATTCACTAAAGCTCAATAAATTGGTTGAAAATAACAATCTTTGTTTAGAATCGGAAAGAACCACAGGTACTAGTGACTGGTATATTTAATTTACGTATTTCATACATATTCATTGTGATTTTTAAAGAATAGTCGTGGTCTTACGCTGCTTATTCTGACATATGATACATTCTAACAGAATAATAAATAAGGCGAGTTTTAGGACAAAGTCAGATATGCCCAAAGAAAACTCTAAACACATGAAAACATATACAGTTTCGCGAGAGGGCACTGAACGTGTAAACATCGACTGTGTATTTTTTTGCGGATTAAAATATAAATAATGAGTAGTTATAAAAACTGATATTTATGTAATAAATAATTTTGTAACAGTGTTTGTGTTAAAAAGATGAGCAATAAAACAAAACAGTGAAATTCTCTGTAGTTATAATTTTAAAGAAGAAACAAATCTAATAAATAATTATTTCTGTACATTTATTTAAAACTAAAGTATAAATTTTGCTACAAATTAAAAGTAGACAATGTATAAACTTTGAATGAATGTAACGAATTATTGGACTACGTGATATGAATCAACGAATGGACTTTGCATCGTAGCAAACCAATGGTTGAATGCATATGCTCTGATATCTGGCGACTAACAATTAAACTATAATAACTCTGCTGCTTAATAATAATAAGCATATAAAACCTGTTGAGTGAAAGTAGCCGTGATAACTGTTAAAAGCAAATCAGTATGTTAAAAAGAACTACTACCACAAACTGTTTACAAATATTACGAGTAGATCACAATATAATTGATTTAACTTTCAAAGTATGACATGTAGCATGTGATGAATGTTTTTTAAAATATATTTTAAACTGATATTCTGAAAGTATTATAGGCATTGACATTGTAACTACACTTAATATAAATATTTGAACGCTAAATTAGTGTTAGCAACAATATTTTAAATATGTAAGACCTCATGCATGTCAGACCATGAATTAGCCAAATAAATTGTTAAATTTATAGTTTCTTACTCCCTTGAGCGTGATTTTTGTAATTTGGTTGTAGTTTTAACCCGACTACGACGAAGCGGAAAATTTAATGATTCCGTGTAGGGTGTAATTAGCATATTTCAAATAAATATTACATTTCTAGATTTTGCCTAAATAACACCCGAAAATAATTAAATAAAAAAATTCGTTCAGAAACAAAAATCACTGATCATAACAAAACAAACTGTTGTGGCACACGATTACGTTGTCCTTTGTCCATCGCTTTTACAGTATGCCTAGCTATCGCTATAAAATTTCTTCTTTCAAACTTTTTAGAGAGTGATTAAGCTGCATTCGGGTTTTAGTTTTAGAACTTATTTTTTTATTTAATTAATTTTCGGGTGTTATTATATAAAATATAATCGAATTATAATTGCGCGATGAAGTATTTGCACTCTTTTAATTGTGAAAGATATAGTAGGTGTAGGTTTTATATTAAATACTCCAGTTAAATTATCGAGTACACAACGTCATAACCGCGAACAGCAAAATTTAACACGAGTCCATTGCTTTTTAAGAATAATTACTTAATTAATGTAAGAACATTAATGAAACTATCAGAAACTGATAGTTAAACTTTATAATTTATAATATAAAGTTTAGTTTATAAATAATATAGATCGCAATGACAATGTTGCCTTGTTAATTAACTAACTTAAGAAAGTTTAATTAACAAGGCAACATTGTCATTGCGATCTATATTATTTATAAACTAAACTTTATATTATAAATTATAAAGTTTAACTATCAGTTTTGATGTTTTGTGAAAAAATCAGAGCTATCACAGCATTAGAGGTTCGATCAAATAAAACTGACTTCAAAATGTAATAAAGGTTTTTATGGTTGAACCTATTGATACCGTTGTGCTCGACAAGAAGCGTTCGATGCTGCTTTTTTACAGAATTACAAAGCAATATTTTTTTCTAAATCAGTACATAGTGTTTTACACGAATTTCTCATTCATACTTAATACATCCTTTATGTTGTAGAAAAAAGATACAAGGATGTATTTCATAAGTTTTAATTATATTTTAAGATTGAAGTTTTAATAATACTATTACTGTTTGTACGCAGAGAGCATGCCCAACAGCGTCAATATTGCTTCGGGGACTTAGTGCCGAGCAGACCAACCTAAAAAGCATCCTCCAAGATAAAATCCCTAAGGAACAGGAGAAGATCCGTGAGTTCCGCAAGAAGCATGGCGCCACAAAAGTTGGAGAGGTCACCGTAGATATGGTGAGTGATAATTCAGATACTAGAAGTATCATTGTCTTGACTGGTTCAGTGATACTGCGCTGCCAAAACTGCTTAGAATCATTAAATTTATCTTATTACGTAGGGTACTAGGAATATACGAAATGATTTACTAGTTTTGTTGTAATAATTAATAATTTAAGTATTTTATATGTGTACAGTGTTCTCACACAGAAACAAAACGATCTAGCGCTAATAGAGTTCTAGTGTAACGGATTTAAATAAAAACAATTGGGACGATGACAATCTTTTGTTGTCTATCCGTCAGGTAGATTATTCCAGATTTAAAGACATTTATTTTTTATTTTTTGCGTAATCTATCAATTACTGTGATACTTTGAAATAAAAAGTCTTATCAAGTCACGGCTTTTAATAAATTTGTCTACGAAGCTGTGACGTAGCGAGCCATTAACTTAAAATGCGTATCTAATATGTTTTTATTTTCTGATTTGCGGATTAAATAGATTATTTTTACCCAGGCGTCATCCCTATTTTCATATAAACTAGAAAATGTGATTTTTAACCCGGTTAAGGTTGCTAGCATAGTAATTACCGTTGACGTCATTTTAACGTGATCTTGGGAAGTCCCGTTCGTATGAGAAGGAAAATCATATTTTCGTAACGAAACAAGTCACTCGGTAAATTCCACCAGTACATTAGGCCCTTATTATTTTTTTGTTTCTTCCTGTATATTATTGCGTTACCGATAAATATTGTGAATGAATGAGTAATTGTACGCGAAAGATCACTCAGTGTATGATTATTTCCTCCTTTTAATCACTGTTTCGTTAATTTTATGTGAATTTCTTTGTATGTTTCACAATATCTTTCATTAAATTTCATATCTATACTAATATTATAAAGAGGTAAGAGTTTATTGTTAGTTAGTTTGTTTTAAATAAGGTAACTCCTGGAACGATATTAGATTCTCTTTTATTTTCAGATTTCATAATCATAATTCTTTAAATTAAATCACTCACGGAGGTACCGTAGGCTATAATTTGCGTGAGCGAAGACGCGGGAAAGTAAAAATCTTTACAAATAAATTAAATTGTAGTGTCTGTTCCAATCTGACTGACTAACTATCGAGAGTATCACTAAAGTAAACGTTGGCATGCGACGATTCATCCGTCGACTTATTTTTATAGATATCTACTCCGAAAAGACCGTAAGTTATTTTTTAAACATGTAGTTATGCAAAACACTGATAAATGAACACGTGGTGACCATTGGGTTTGCTCATACTCTGATAATGTCACTGAAATAGACAACGATTAAAAAAATTAAACAATGTATCACGCACCGTGTTATAATCATTATCACGCACGCACATAGTCTGCATCTCGCCGCAGTGTGAACGCTTCCGTATCAGAATCACATACTCACTCAACAATGTAACATGCGTGTGTGACATTATCAATGAAAAGAAACCTTATTGACGATTTTATTGTCCGTGTATTTTTTATTTTAGTGAAATGTAAAAATGTCATCATTTCGTTTTTTTTTTACACATAATGTTTATTATGCAGGTCTAAAGTTTGGTTTGACTCGAACAATTTTTCATATAACAAGTGACAAAAACAACAAGCAAAGTTAAGTGAAAAGGGCACCTTTTTGTCGGTTGAATCTAAAGTTCGTTTTATATGATAACGTATAGAACGAATTTTCGAGAATAATCCTGAGTCATGTGTCGTGGCAAAGGTTTCCAATTCAGTAAATGCATTCCTTCACCACTTTTTGTCAATTTTGGATTAGGAGAGATACGCAATTTGTCACGCGGATAATTGCGTAGGCTGAAACAAAAATAACTATTCAATGGAGTATGCTATTTGAAGAGTTCTTAAAGGCAAACATAGAATTTCAAGTGTATTTCAGGCTTTTTAATAAGAAATTTAGTTGTTCTGTGGTCTACTCAAAAAAAGACGTGTTTGATGCCGCAGTAACAGCATGTCGGATGTTTAATTCTATTAATGTCATTATGGTTGGTAATGAGACAGGTGACACTGTGTACGTTCAAATCTATGATTGAAAAACTCATTTTAAAGAAACGAAGCCCGGCACTATTCCCAACTTACTGTCATTCATGCATTTAAAAACGGAATCATCCAATCCTGGAGTGTGATGTGATCAAATCGCCATTTTAATTAGTATTCACATTAAGTATTCAAAAACACGTTCGCTTTCGATGGTCTATCGAATATCATCAGAAGCGAAGGGGTTTCATTTGAAAGACATAAATATTTGTATGAAAAGATTTGCGAGTTTGAGTCAGATTCTTTATGTGACATAAGATAAAAAAAATATTTTATTTTATCCTATGCCACAAGAGTGGGTTGTCGTGACGTTGTTGTGTGACGATAGTAATGTCCAATCAAAAAATGAACAGAACGTTTTCAGAATGCCACCAAACCATGAACAAGGAACTACTCACGATGAGTCTTTAATTTCATCGATAAGAAAAATTCTGACCTGCTCTTAATGCGCCGAGACAGGCCATTGAAATCAATTTAGAAATGGAAAACATTTTTGTAAAAAACGCCAATCAGTAAGCTATCGTCCTTGATTTTTATGTTTTTGTTCCATTTCTACAGCCAAATTAACGTGTAATTAGTTTTAACATTTTTGTGAAATTTTAACAAAATTACTCAAATTCAAATTTAGTTTAGTTTATTCAAATTTAGTTTTAGGTGATCAATGATAAAATTTTGATTATAAGGCTAATTGCTTAAATTTAGCAAAATATGTTGATTTTGACTGTCAAATACTTAGAAGTATTAATTAATGAATACTAAGAATCCAAAGGATTAAATATCACCTTTTCCAACCCATGACTTTCAAAATTTTTTTCAGTTTGTATAAGTATTACATACAAGATTTCTATACGGATAGACAGGTAACTGTATTTAGATAATGGGAACACTAATAAGTCCATATCTACAATAAGGTCCCTTCATGCTAATAACGTCACATATATCATCATGTGGGACTAAAGCAGCGATAAAGCAGACGTACAAGTGCTTATTGCAAGGAAATAAAAAAACTACAGCTATACAATTGTATGCACAGACTCAGATGATGACGTCATTTTGTAGATGCCATAGTAATTCGTTTTACATGAACGTATATAGTTTTTCTGATAACCGTATAGCACGAAAACGTTCGCATTGTGGCACGAAATAAAGCGTTGATCTTAAATAAACGCTATGCCTACTTATTATTATGACACAGTGTTTTGGTAAAAAAAAAACACTTGGCAACACAGACAATATTGTTGGCCGAGGGCGCGCCGCGCCTATTGCGTTTATAAGGTAATAATTAACAACAATGTTATGCGTGACGTAGCTTCGCTACGCAACTCGAGTCGAGTCAAATGTCGTGTAACAAGTTGTTTGATTACCATTTGTGTTACATGAACTTGATCAATGCCATAATGAAACAAGAAGCATAGTGTAAGTAGGTCAATAAACTCCAATATGATCGCATGCAAAGCAAACAACGACGGGGCTGTTCATACTTTTTAGCAACAATTTCTTTCTGTATAGAAATATTTCCATTGCCTTAATAAAGCATGTAGTTATGAAATCCCTACAAATCGAATAGAGTCGTCCAATATTATACATACATATAAACCTTCCTCTTGAATCACTCTGTATATTGATGAAACCGTACTAAAATCCGTTAAGGTTGGTTCACACTATTGATTTTACTTCTGGTGTGCACGAGGTCACTTATAAGATCGAGTATGAACTCTGTCTTATAAGTAGTCTACGTCAAAAGATTCAGAAGTTAACTTTTTAGATATTTTATCGTGGAGTCTAAAGGATCTCAGGACACAGACAGCGAGAAGCGACTTTATTCTGTACTATATATTGAAGAATATTAGGAATAATTAACAATAAATTGTTATTGTGCTTATCTATTGGTATTTATTCGTTATTAATCTCAATTTGTTCAACACACTACGGCTATTGTATTGTAAATCTTACGTCAAATACTGTGTAATATAAAAAACAATAGTTTATACACTCTTTAACAGATGTGTATTTTTTAAATAAGAGGCTATATATAATATGTGAGTGTGAACGTATCATTATTTAATCAATAATTATTGCAGATGTACGGCGGTATGCGTGGCATCAAAGGTCTAGTTTGGGAGACCTCAGTGCTGGATCCTGATGAGGGTATCAGGTTCAGGGGCATGTCTATCCCTGAATGCCAACAGCAACTACCAAAAGCTAAAGGCGGCGAAGAGCCCCTTCCCGAAGGCTTGTTCTGGCTGTTAGTGACAGGAGATATACCCACCGAGGCTCAAGTGAAAGCTCTGTCTAAGGAATGGGCACAAAGGTTTGTATTCCACGCAATTCACAAAGTTCCATTAAAGAGAAAGAATATCGTTATTTATAAATTGAAATCTATTTTTTTTATTGTGAAAATTCATTAAAATTTGGAGTAATACATATATTTTGTTACATGTTGTATTCAAAGCAATGATTGAGATTTATATCACCCTAGTATCAAAATACTTTACAGCTTATCATCTTATATCTTTTGTAATGATAGATTGAGTTGATATTTTTTAAAATTGACAGGTGTAAAATCGTATGATAATGTCAACATTTTATCACGGAAATATTAGATAACGACCTTTTAAAAAAGAAAGCAATGCAAATGTATATTGTGTATCTATCCATAATTATATCTGACCATATTGATTCATATTCTTACGAGTATACATATGTTCGTTGTTTTATGCTTAAATATGCAGTTTGCGCATATTTTCGCTGTCAATAAATAAATATAACATATAAAGTTCTCTTGTCACAGTTTTAGTTACCATATTCCGCTTAAACGCCTTGATCGATTTTATTATTATATTAAGTCTGAGAATATGTTGTTATTTTTATTACCCCTAAGTAATAAAGGTGGGCCAACCCAAAAATAAACGGCAAAAAAACGTTTGCCGTGTCAGTATTCTTACATAGCTTTAAATATAAGTGTATGACAGTAATGTGAAGTTGTCTATTGTCCTGAGTCTCAAGACATGTCCTAGTTTTTAGGTATAGTGTCCTCAGATGTCCTGGATCGTTTTTATCTAGCTGAACTAAAAAAAAATATACTAATATAATAATGCTCAAGAGTTTGTTTGATCACTATAATTTTAGGAACAACTGGTTCGAATTGGATTATTTTGTTAGTTGAATAGTCCATTTATCGAGTAAGGCTATAGGTTATATAACATGACGCTATGATTAATTGAAAAGAAGCAGCAATGAAATTTTTCAAAAACGGGACAATATTTTATTGTTTGTGGACTTTCCTTCCGTGCACTGCGTAAACGGTGAAAGTTATGTAAAAATCATGTATTTGAAAATTAAAATCCCCTTTAAAAGTTCTAAAAGAAGTCCGTAACAGTATATGTATATCTTATATCTTATCCCGAAAAAATGTACGTAAAGGGATGAAAATGGGAGTATAAGTTCATAAAGGGCATTAAAACGTGACGTGACCATAGCAACCATTGTTTACAATTCAATTTGTCATTGTAATTATATTTCTAAATCTATTATTAAATGATGTAAGCTGTTTACGCAGGTTTAAATAATGTTTTGAATAATTCAAATCGATACAATTTTTATCGCTAATTAAATGCATATGTTATATTGGTTAAGTGCACAATAATGTTACATTTACCTTACGCTACTGATCACTAGATGATTTTGATTTTTGTTATGTTTGTAATCTTAATTTTCTTCTGAATTTTATAAAAAAAGATAATGATCGTTTTTTATTTTACGGTATTTTGCAATAATATAGTTTAATGTGAAATTCTAGGGCGAAAAAAAAAAAATTTAACATTTAGCTGACTCTACTGATTACTAGATGACGCTACTATACTTTTAAAACGGTATTTTGATTTTTAATTTTTTGTCTTTATTGTTTTTCCGATTTTTATCAAAGTCGCTTACATTTTCAATTTTGTAGTTTTAAGGGTGTTCCGTAGTCAACCAGGAACCGGTCCGTGGTTTAGCTCAAAAACGATTGATATTTCACGCCGAAAAGTAATAAAATCTTGAAAAAAAAAATTTACCCTTCCTACATATAAAGTTCAGGGAGTTTTTATTTATCTTACTATAGCGTGGAGTATTATAGGATAGATATTTTTCGATTTAGTTAACTGTTCGTGACTTATTAAGCTTCAAAGTGCCAAATTTCGTTAGACTCGATGTCTCCCCCCTCTACTAACTAAAAGTTTATTGTTAGAAATTCAAACGTTACGAAAGTAATAAGTTAACTTTACGAGTAATAGTCTGCCAAATGTATTTAACTCGAAAATTTTTCGATTTTATTGAGAGAATTATCATCAGACGACAAAGTAATATATGGATGATTATTTACTGTCTTTATTAAAGAAAACATTTGTTTTTTGCAAAAGAAGAGCAACTGGACTATTCTATGACGATATGCGCGTTATACACAGAAACACCGGTAGATTTTTCATTGTTAGTTCCATCGGTTGGACAGGCCTATGACCCAGCAATGAGGACATTGGTGAGCTAATGATAATCATATAAAGGTGGATGCTCACTGGCAGTTTTTTATTTAAAGATTAGCTTAAGTCTCCAGTATAGCAGGCCAGTGCACACACAGTACCCTCGGAGTACGTCGGTGAGGCCGCAGGCTACAGCTAGTAGAGATTATAAAGGGATCTGGTAGTGTCATGTAATTTATAATTCACGCGGCGCTTTTGAAATTCTTACGTTACGATTCACTAGTGTTACGCAGTTAAACGTGTTTCTTTTTGTTAATGTTAAAAAAAGTAATTACTAGCTTTTTACCCGACTGCAAAGGAAGGGTTATGTTTTACACGTATCTTGTAAGTGCGTAGTAATATTCTTTATTACCTCATATCTTTAGAACCGCTGAACGGATTTAGATAATTGAGGTACCTTTAGATTTGTCTTAGTAGCCTAAGTGGTCTTAGGTGAAAAAAAAAAAATTGGTCGTTGTGTGACGCCATAATATTTAATGTTTTTTTTCTCAAATTAAAGGGCTCTTGTATTGAGTCCTTTAATTCTAAAAAAATATAATTATCATTACCGTAATACAAATTAAAATAATACAGTGATAAAGTATGGACTATCACTTTCGGACTTTCTTTTCGGGCCCAATTGTTGTTTCTGTAATTACATAAAAGACATAAATAAAATTATAATAAAAAAAACAAAAACCTCGCCTGCGTGAAAAACAACTAGATACCTGAAAAAGCTTATTAACTTTTTTAAATCTTATTTAACTGTAGTATAACTACGATGTGTTTTTTAAACTGAATTGACCGGACTTCCAACTTTAATTCTTATTTTTTTTAATTTGAGGTTGGTAACCCTACAGTAACCTTAATAGACAGAAGTAAATCAGAGTAAGGCATGTGGCTTTTTGGCGACGCTCCAAAAATTGGAGAAATCATACCCACGTATTGCTTCTACGATTAACGTTACGTATACATTAGTATTACCCTCCAATCCGCATTGGGCCAGCGTGGAGGGTCATGGCCCATCCTCCTTAACCATCCATAAGGAAGGCCTGAGCCCCTGCAGTGGGGACGTAAAAGGGTTGGTGGTGGATACATTAGTATTGTTTCAAAGATCTTGAATGTTGATTTATTTTTTTATAAGAATGGCTAACTTCGATTTTGGTTTTATGAACAACTCATGGTAAAGATAACAGATATTTAAAATTGGTAACAACAATTGCCGTTATCACTGAGTAAATGTACTTAATTTATCAAGTCTGTGACATTATTTCATGAAATAATGTCACCTCATTGTCAGATTGTTGAAATTATGTTGCATAACATCATCGAATTTATTTCCAGCTCACGAAAATTTAAGTAATTACAGTAGTATTGCTTCTCTCTGTAAATTTTTAAACAAGATAGATATACCTAGTACTATTTTCAAATTAAAGTCAGAGGAACTTTATATATAATAACGTTACTATCAGTAACTTGAGAAAAAAATTCGCTGTGTAGGAGTAAGAGAGTAGGTTTGGCCTACCTGACCTGTTTTTATATAAATTCTATTTTACGTTGCAAATGAGTTCCGATATATTATACCGTTAGAATTTATTTTGGGCATATGTCTCTGGTAAGGTTTAGGGTTTTTAGGGAGAGTTAATACATTTTTTGTTACTGTTGAGGCAGGTACTTATTCGAAAGCGAGGAATCCTTATAACCATAAAAAGTCTATTGTAATAAGTCGGTATAATGATATGAATCAAGTATAATTGAATTTCTGTTTTTGCTAGTGTAAGGCTATTTTTTTGCTTTGATCCTTATTCCAAATTTGAACAAAAAATTACGGACAACCCTGCGTTTGACAGTTTTGTTACCTGCCAAAAATAAATGGCACATTATTGATATGTGTTTGGTAAATGTGCTTATTGAGATGATTTATATTATATTGATACGATTATTTTAAATATTTGTAGCACTAAAAATAGCTTAAGTCAGTTTAATTGAATGAATTCTGCTCCCTAGCTACATATGATGGAAAGATTTATAACGGTACTCGTTGCTGTCCGGTGATATAGTGTGATTTTTGAATGACGGAATCAATTGAGCGTTATATAAAACGCAAATAATACGAGTCTTTTGTAAAATGATACAATGCACATCATTGTTGATATTGTAAAATTCAATTTAAAATACACATCAAGAACAAAAAATTTACATTTAATAAGGTAGAACCGACTACAAACTTAAAGTGAAAAAAAATACTTATCTCAAAAGAGACTTATTCAAGAAAATGCTATTAGAGACGGGCGAAGGTTTTCTGTAGGTATTAATTAAAATTCAAATGATAGGCGCCCGACTTCAATAGCATTATTTGAAAATCATGCTTTTTAGTGTTATTCAAAATCGGTTCAGACAAACGGGAGATAATCGCGGACGATACATAGAACACCTATTATAGTGCGAACCTACATTTTTGCAGTCTGTTAATATAGCTAAAACCTTCTTCTGTCTGTTACTAACATTATAAGGAGGTAAAGTTTCAAACGTTACCTTCAAAAATACTAATCCTATCATAAAAAAAAAACTAAATATAAATTTACAAGAACTTTAGAAACAGAGTCGGTTACAACATTACCTATGTCGTTAAGTATCCATTTAGTTTGGATGTGTACCTAATCACGTATTTGTTTACAGAGCGGAACTACCAGCGCACGTAGTAACGATGTTGAACAATATGCCCAGCAAGTTGCATCCAATGTCGCAGTTCTCTGCCGCCGTCACAGCTCTCAACAGCGAGTCCCAGTTCGCCAAAGCATACTCTGATGGTGTACATAAGTCCAAATATTGGGAGGTTAGTATTGCACTGCATTTTTAATGTGATTTACGATCGAATGATGTCCAGTCTCTGTTACATTTTACCCATTACTCTTTGTAACACGTATTATTGTATTTTGTTGTTGTTTAGGTTTCTTTAGCATTTATTTAAAAAGTCCGATTATCTAATTCTATGTTTTTCGGTTAGAGAGTACATTATTATTTGTGTTCTTTACTTAACTAAGTAATTTAATTATACTTTCTGATTTCGGTATGTAGTCGCTACTTGTAGTATGAATATCGGAGTATGTGGTATTTTTCTAATATTTGTTTATTTATATTATCAATTGGTGAACTTATTTGTACGCGTAAATTTATTTGATCCACTTGTTCGTAGTACGTATACGAGGACTCGATGAACTTGATCGCCAAGCTGCCCGTGATCGCTGCTACGATATATCGTAACACTTATCGCGACGGCAAGGGCATCGGCGCCATCGACGATAACAGAGATTGGTCCGCTAACTACTGCACCATGCTCGGTTTCGAAGACGCACAGTTTACCGAACTTATGCGATTATATCTTACTATTCACAGGTGAGACTATTAAGAAAACTTAAACAATACTTAATCGTAATATTAGTGGGAAACCATTTGAAGTAGCTAGTTTGCGCACTTAGGCAGTTTTGTTAACTTATCTCAAAATCAATATTGTTAAACACTAGAAACATATGATTCATTGACTAGTCAACGGATGAAGGACTGCGTGTCCAATTTCTTTGTTATACACTAGGAACAAATTGGCGATTCATCCCAAGGCCAATTTACGATAAAAAAAATCATGTAAGATTTTTTTTAATACAATGAATAACCACAGTTATACTATATTTATAGTATAATGTTGTATTTTAACCTAAGTTTTTACATCCAGGTCTGAGAATTAGACTTTAGTTGTCTAGGACAGCCGTAGCACAGAGTAATTAGGTTTAATGGGCACTAGAAAGATTATGGCGACAATTCTGTTGTACAATTATATAAATTTAGTTTTAATCCTCTGAAGTAGCGTTTTCAATTCTGTAAATAACAGAAGTATACTTATTATTGTTCTGGTTTTAACATTAGTATAGTCAGCGTGCGAACGTCAGACTATAATATATGTGGTTTTAATATGAGAATAAGATGATATAATATATTATAGTTTCTGACTTTAACATACTAAGCTATCTTATTGTTACATCCTGTATACTGGAGTAAAACTATAGTGTTTTGTTTAACTATGACTACGGAATAATGTTATACGAGTAATTACTTCTTTTTTAGTTTAAAGAAGGTATAACAGAATTGACACCAATGTTTGCCTACAATTTCATTATCCATTAGTCTAAGTTGCGCAAAAAATAGTTTTATTTAGACTTGTATCAAAAGTGCGAGATATCCCTAAACAACAAACCCTTCCACGACTTTATTTTGTTGATATTGTGTGCGGATTAAACATTAACAAGCTGTGCTCCCGATCCTCTTTAAATTCACTTTTGGTCATTAACTGTTTGTTTGCCTACTAATCTATGAAATGAAATATCACCGCTGGCTCGTAATGTGTATTTTTGATATTTATAAAATGTACCAAACAAATTACTGTTGCGTGATTGAAGATGATCATGGGCAAATTAAAACCCTGATTCCGTGATAAACAACTTTTTCGTTTCTTTTCCATATCATTTAAATATATAATAAATCCAATACACATTTTTTTATTACATATTTGTATTGCTCATTGCGAATTAGTCTTCCAAATTGCATGAATATCTTTGCGAATATTCCAAATAACACATTGAAACTATTTATTTCATGAATCATCATCATCTTTGATATTTTGGGTTGCTCTTTGATTGGTTTGATCACTTTAGAAAACATAATTTCCCATTCTTTAGTTTTTAACCTACTATAGGTGTACCAGTATCTGATGGCATTTCGGGAAGTTTTAATTTGTAGAAGGCAACGTTCGGGAAAAAGGATAAAGACGTCTTGATACTTGCAATACTTTAATATAATAAACACTTCAATAACTGCCTCATAGCATTAAATGCTATGAGGCAGTTATTGAAGTATTTATATATGCTATGAGGCATCTGCGTGGGACTTAATATAGTGTACAAACATACCTTTATACTATACATTACCGACATCTAACATTTTGACGGCACAGCACCCGGCCCAGAAAAAAAAATCATTAATATTTTATCTCACTCGGAATCTAATACCAATAAATAAAAGAAGTTTTCTTTATGTATTTTTATATCGCTAATATCTACTAATATTGCAGCTGTTGTTACGCTTACACATCTAAATCAAATGTTAAACAAAACTGTTTTAGTTTATTTCCTTTTTTTGAAGGTTTCTATTTTTACCCGCCGCAGTAAAATACCTTCTCCTTGAAAAATAATTCGTTTTATTTATTAGTCGACACGCCAAAGAATATCTACGACTAAATTCTTTAAATAAAATTAATTATTGATTAAGTAATGCTCGACATTGCTAGTTACGGGTTAATTCATAAACACACTTTGAAATAAAAAAAAATGTCAATCTTTTAAAACAATATTTCTTGCTTGACATATCAATGGCCTTTTGGGCATTTAATATTTTCACATATACGACAATCTACACTTTGACTTGACAGTTTTACAAACATTATACAATTTGTTTTGCCATATGAAAGTTGAGCATTCAGATTCTGGTACACCTATAAATTGTCTTGAATGCAAAGTAATGTTTGAGATATTGACTAATATTTGCGCAAAGGAAGTTACATGTTTCTTTAAGCATTGGTAAAAGATCTCCATGGTTCACAGAAAAAATTGTAAAATCCGTTAATTATACAGTTTTTGTTGTCCTTATATATTAAAATGTGCTTATGTATTTAGTAGTTACCATTATTGGCGGTTTGCTGTGCGAAATTATGCCTATGCCTATTGTTATGTAATATGTCCTCGAGCCCTCCCTATATCGGAACATCATGTGATTATGAAACACGTATTAATTTTCTACTGCTGAACAGATAAAATATTCCAATGTTCCACTGTTATCACGTCAGCTGCATGTTGTTGGATAGTGGTATTATATAAATCGTAAAAGATAAGTCGTGCCTATAACGTTAAATGTTGCAATCTGCTATTTATCTGGAATTCGTCGTATTGCTTGTGACAGTTGGTATTATCAGGGACCATGACCTCAATTTAATGAGCTATTTAGTATATAATGTCAATGGCTACTGCGGATACTACCGAAAATATTAAAGTTAAGATGGGTTACTAACAAATACAAACAATCTGTCCTTATTCCAAGATCAAACAATGTTAATTATCGTTTGAGACGCCTTAATGAGTCACACTTGTTTTGGTTGGAACTACACAGAACTCTATATTCTATGTTCTAATATGTTTAAGGAAAGTTATAATGCCAAGTTTTTGATGCGCAATAACAGAACTGAAAAAAAAAAGAAAGCGTACATTCCTTTTATTTGATAATAAGCCAATAAACAACATTTTAAGCTTTAGGTACAAACTTTAGGAAATTTATAATTATATAGTGTGTATGAGTGTTTATAGAATTTGATGAACTGTTTTTGTGGATTGGAGGATGGGTCATGACCCTCCACGCTGGCCCAATGCGGATTGGAAGGCGTTAACGACTGCAAATGCAGGCGGGATCAACGGCTTAACGTACCGTCCGAACTATTGTTGGATAGTATTATGTATATAAATTCTTAAGAATTCTATTGTTTACAGTGACCACGAAGGCGGCAACGTTTCAGCCCACACAACGCATTTGGTCGGATCTGCGCTTAGCGACCCTTATTTGTCGTTCGCGGCAGGCCTTAACGGTTTAGCTGGACCACTTCACGGATTAGCTAATCAGGAGGTGTGTTAATTTTGATAAAGTCTTTCTCATATACAAACTAATATTTAAAGGAAGATGTTATTTGTGTAAGACATTTGCCAATAACGTATGTTTATTTTGTTAGGTACTAGTATGGTTAGAGAAGTTGCGTAAGCAAGTGGGCGATAATTTCACCGAAGAGGGACTGAAGGAGTTCATCTGGAAGACGCTCAAGTCAGGACAGGTCGTTCCCGGTTATGGACACGCAGTACTCAGAAAGACTGATCCTAGGTAATTATAAGCCCTGTTCTTACTAACTGATATTAAGCTTCGACTTTAGTCATATTCAGTTTAAGACATATTTATTTTAGGAGGCTGATATATTATTGATCCCACTATATATATTGATCTATTGATTAGTGTTTGATTAAGGTCAATAATAGAATGGATTGACAAAAAAATGTGAAAAATATTTTTATTACACGACAGCTTTAATTGATATGAAAAGCTTATGGATGAACAAACAAAATGCTTATTATAATATTGATTATTAATACAGAATAACAAAATGAATGGTTATAAGTGTAAATAAGGGATAAAATTAATGTTTATGGTGTGAAATAGGTACACGTGTCAGCGTGAGTTCGCTCTGAAACATCTACCCAACGATCCCCTGTTCAAATTGGTTGCTGCCGTGTACAAAGTGGTGCCTCCGATCCTCACTGAGCTTGGCAAGGTCAAGAACCCCTGGCCCAATGTGGACTCTCACTCTGGTGTTCTGTTACAGGTAAGTGTAGTTCGATATCACATGCTATGTGAAATTAAACGAAGAACAAATGGCACTTTAAAAAATTGAGTTTTGTTGACATGTTTTAAGCTAGCCCAGTCATTGAACGTAAAAATAGTGCCTTACCTCCGATTTCTGTAACTGCATGAAATTGTCTGAAATTTTGAAATTAATTCGTCTTACTTTAAACCTGACTTACCGCAAGTAGCGCTTTTTGTTTTTAAGTGGTGAAAACTACCCCATTGAATAAACGAATTGAAATAAATATATTAAACCAGTGAAAAGGCTATAATAGGGAATATGCGTCTGACAGGCCTGGATATACGATACTTATTAACCGGGGCAGAAACTTCGTATGGAACTCTTCGTCCAGCCAGATTTTAATATTACTCTTACGGGGCCCAGCGGCGCGGTTCGTCTACTAAACTACCTGTGTCATATAGTTATACATTGGGTCATTGGGAGAGAAAGGGACTTCCGCCAATGGTATCGAGTTCTGCGCCTACATTTATTCAAATTTAGTTTTGTATATTTGTAGTATGAGCCGTAACATTAAACAAAACTTTATTTTTTTCACAATTATACTTGTGCTTTAATTTTGATACGAATAATGTCTTCCATAAAACGTAAATTTTTTTAGTTACTCATGAAAATTAGTGAAAAAGCTTGCCATTTATTGACATTTTCAACCGTGAATACCTAAGCTAAACTATTAGTTTATCAGAAAAAAAAATAGTGCTCAAAATCTTTCGATTACTGAGGTTATTTTTTTTTTTCATTTTCATCCCCGAAAACCCCTTTCACCCGCAGGGTAAAAGCGTATATCGGCACTACAAATTTCAAATTTATCGTTGAATGACTGGACTAAGCATGTTGTTCTTCTCGTGAATCTTTTTCTTCAGCATTATATTATTAACCTATGGGTCTCACTATGTCAGTTTAAAGTTTAATATCTATAAAATTTCGGAAAGTTGACGTTCCCATTAATTTGTCGTCGTTTCATTTTACAGTATTATGGACTGAAAGAAATGAACTACTACACTGTGATGTTCGGAGTGTCCCGCGCTTTGGGTGTCCTCGCCCAGCTGATCTGGTCTCGTGCTCTCGGCTTCCCCATCGAGCGGCCGAAATCTCTCAGCACCGAAATGCTTATCAAACAGCTCGGCAAGTAAACTCTGGTCAAACAATATCCTACTACAAATCAATCGGGACTTTTTATAGGACACTTTCCTACTCTAGTAGTGCCCTTAAATTAAATCAGTTTGTTTCACACACAACGCCATTAGTCAAATTATTGTGGTATCATAAGTATTTTGTAAAACATTTTTATTGTAATTATTCACTGTTATTTGTGTTAAGCATAAGCGATGCATTTGTGATCATGTTGTTATATGATAGGTGAATTTCAGACAGTTTAGCATATTGCTAAGTATTATTTAGTGTCAGACCAAAACTTAATGAGTTTAGCATATTGTGTATCTAATTACTCAAAGGCTAATAGGTTAAGTAAAGCGAGCAAATATAAATATAAGATAATTAAAATCATCTTTTTATAATGTACAGTATCTAAAACAAGGTTTTACAGTTTGATTCCGAATATCATTAATACCGAATTCCAGATGTATATCGATTACACCTTACCAATTTGTTTATTTATTGTTTATATTTCCTCCTCTTTTCGGATTTTTTGTTTTGAATAGCTTTTAATTTGCTGGCATATATATGAACAGTAATAAACATTCAAGAGCCGATTATGGGTATACTGAGTTGTTATTATTGTTATGAAAAACTCAAAACATAACATTCGGAATTTAACTGTAAACCTATTAAAAGTGAATGTTTTTTTTTTATTACAGTAATAATATAATAAACAGTGTTATCAATAATTAAAAAAGAACTCAATTCTATGATTTGCATTATGAATTAACACGCATTATGATAAAGATCAAGATATTCGGCGGATTGGCTCTATGTAAAAGATGTTATAGAAAGAAATTCACCTGTCAATTTGGTCTTTATTTTTTTATTGTTATATATTGTATAATATAAATGATTACTTTTATGCTGTCGTGTACTTATTTCTGTGATGATAATGTTGTTCTAAAAAGTTCTGTTTATTTCTTTCGCTTAATAACTTTATGTATTATAATAACATATTGACTAAGAGTGTGGTGTGATTCAACTGCAATCCTCGTACAGTAGAATTAGACAATGGTGGATGTAACTGGGTCATGCTAGGTCATCACTATGGTGTTCGGTATGCGTGCATACTATTTCGCCTTAACGTAAAAGTATAAATTTTTTACAATAAATTAATTTTTAGGTGACTCAGTATTTTCTCTTATTTATTGTACTTAGATCAATTGTAGCAGTATGTTAGATTCAGACATAAGAAGTGGCCTAGCATATTAGATAAGTTTCACTCTTGAAATAAATTATTGTCATACTTCGTTATACTTTCCCCGTTTTATAGTAATATACACAATTTGTAGCTGTATGTACTTTAATGTAGTATCGAGTTACCAAAGTATTTACATTTATGTATATAAGGGTGAATATTGTTGATTTGTTTAACAGCGCGGTGTCAAGGAATCACAGAGTTTCATTTGTAACTCATTTATATAATATTTAGCATTTGTCAAAGTTTGTGGGCCAGATTATTTATTGTCATTCATTTGTATTTATTGATTCAACATGTAGTAATAATATTTATGGTTTTGCTGTGTGGCGATTAATTTATTGAAATGTTCGACGATAAGTCTATATGACTGTTGGAAAATCGTAATTCAATAATTTGACAATACTAAAATAAATTGGTATGGTGTAGTATATATTAAATGAGCTTAATTTTTATTTTCCCTTATCTCTATTATTTATAGCTTAAAGAAACTTGAAGAAATTCCGGTTCTACAAATTATAACACGTAAAATAAGTGTATTGCGATATATAAATACTTTATTTAGACCCGACCTGTGTGGGGTATACTTTGCATGGATGTATTTTCTTTGGTACAGCTATTGACCTAAAAGTGTAATGTTACGGCTAAAGGTGGGTGTGAACATAAACTTAAGATTAGCCAGTTAAACGAGAAGCAGCTAAAGTTCGATATCATGTTAATTTGCGTCGTGACATTCCATTAGCCGGTTAATGTGCACATAAACCGAAACAAAACAGCTAAAAATGTATTCGATGGACGCTGACCGGCGGAGGGCTTGAGGGGTAATTAACACTAGAGAAGTTAAGTAATTAATATTTTGTAATGGTAATTTTGAATACCTATAAAGGTACATAAAAGTATATATGTTGGCTCCCGATCGTTGTATTGGCCAGATCGTGGTATGCCCAGGCATATCGTGATACGCCGGCACTTCATGATCTGGCCATATCGTTTGACGATTTGCCCAGCCATACTAGGGAATATCATTTGTGTAGCATCATATACCAAATACGTTTCCTTCTACAAAAGCGATTCGTTTCAGGTTTCGTTGTTTATCATACACTAACATAACCCAACCCCCAACCCATATGCTATAAAATAAACCTATACAAGTATAATACAAACGATCTTTCAAATATAGGTTACGAAAATACTTGCAAATATAGGACACGAACGTTCTACAAATTCTCTGCGCGAAATGCAACTGCTTCATGATCCGCCCAGTGTTGAGCTGGGACTATCGACAAAAATGTTATTCTCGTCGATCTGCCCAACTTTTGATTGGGCACATCTTGATATGGCCGGCTTGAAATACGCCGTGACTTCATGATTTCATGAAGTCACGGCGTATTTCAATGCGATCAGGCCAACACAACGATCGGGCGACGACATATACAATGAGTGATTATTTTTTCATAATAGTTTTCGTGTCGAAATAGTGAACATTATTACATTGTTTCCTTTTCCATTTAATCATTTATAGCCAAGGGTCTGCAGGTACAATTAAGTTTAGCCGGCTAAAGATAGAAGAAACTAACATCGATACCTCCTCGAAGATAAACCTAAGTTTAGCCGGTTAATCTTAAGTTTATGTTCACACCCACCTTTAGCCGTAACATATATATCTCAATGAGTACCAGGCAGACGCTGTACCACAAGTGCGTGTAATATGACGCCAAGATGAGAAATGCGCACACGATAATATTCGAATGAGATATCTGACGCCCTTACCGCCTTCCTATTGAAAGCACAGACCGGGCCTTCCGCCTGGGTCTCTTAGCCCATGGCTGTCCCTTCGTTCCTCCCTAGCAGTACTCTCATCCCAAACCAACGAGCGCTGTCCACTTCATGTTGCGTCGCGCTTGCTTCTACAGTTACCCTGCATGTTTGTCTGGCAAGGGTTATTAAAACTGTCTGGCTGATGAGGAAACATCAACATCGTTGATGCCCAAATAATCATTTCTCAAATAATACGTATAAATATCAGCTATTATACTATAATGTAGTACAATTGCAATTACTTGGATGAGCATTAAGGGTGTCTGGCAAGGGGTTGCCACCATGGTAAATGTCTGGCAATGAATAACGTAATTATTTACAATATTTTGATTGAAATATAAAAAATAAGCTTTATAATTTGAGGTAAGCTTTATAATCTGGTATTTTACTGACCTTTGAGTGCCGTCTACTTGGCAAGGCCACTATGACCCAAACTTAATTATGACCGTCTTGTTCATACCAGTATTGGGAGTATGAGCTGACAAATTTTCATCTTTTATAAAATTACGAAGGTCTGGCGTTCGTGGGCTTATGGACTTAGAGCCCAATTATATATACCACGGCAAAACTAGATGTAAACTGCGGCTTGGCCCACGTGGCCAAGGGTATTGTGTGCATAATGGGAGTCTGAAGCTAAAAATATGCCAATGAGCATCCACCTTTATATCATCATTATTAGCGTCCTCGCTGCTGGGGCATAGGCCTACCCAATAGATGGAACCAAATAAGAAAAATCTACCTGTGTTTATGTGGGTCTTTATAGAATTATCCAGTTGCTCTTCTTTCAGTCTTAGTGCGCAGTAGAATCGATACACCTTGCAAAAATACTAATATTTGTTCGCGGCTTGCGTTGCATTTTAGCTTTTCCGTGATAATATTTTAAAATGTATCGAATTTCAATAAGAAAAACATTTTGACAATAAGAAAAACAAATCAAAATCACACATCTACCTGATTTGTATGCGAAGTTATCATCTTTAAAATTTAAACTTTTTAATTATACTGAAACTAGCCAGATACAAATGGTGTAGCCAGAAATAATTTATTCCAAGTTTATATATGCGCTAAAACACCTTTTCCTCAACGTAATATATTAAATATATGTTTATGGTAATCAAGTTTGCTGTGCAGAACTAAATCCAAGTCACGAACTTCAAATGTTCTCTTCAAAGGAGCGTCAGAAATACACCTGGCAGCACCACCCTCTCTTGGATTTTGAAATGACGTCTTGTTTGTAACTATGAAACGTAATAGGGAAAAATGGCCAAGTTACGTTGTTTTCGGAGATGAATTATAGTTTTTGTGACGTTGACGGCTGACGTCATTCTGGCAGTACCACGGCAAGAACTCTGTATTTACAATGAAACCTCCGGACATAGTGTCCACGAATGGCTAAAGTAAATATTTTTAGAAAAAAATAAGAAATAGTATCGCTGTTGGGCCGACGTCATTCTGGCACCGCCACGCTTTCTCTTCTAAATCACACCACTTTACAAGCTCATTCTTTTAAACATCAAGTCATTTTAGCATGAATTCATACGTCATTGAAACTTTTGACATCTTGTAAGTATTCACCACTAGGTATACAATGAAGTGGAATAAATTACGAAAATTATCTCAACAACCACAAAGTATTTTACCGGTACCGGTCTGGCAATTCCAAGCGAATAAAATATAATTTATCGATTCCTACACAAATGATGATTTAGATTTTGTGTTATGGATGATTAATAAACTATTTTCACGTTAATTAAGAGATGTTTACAAATATAATTACATAGTATAGTATAACAGATGACAAAGCTTGCAATGTTTTTAATTTGACCATCATAAGCGCCGCGATAGATTTAGTTACCCCCACCTACTACATCGCACTCAGCGAATAGGTACAATGTAATTTTATACTAATGCAATGAGAAGTAATTAATTGGCACGCCATTTAAAATTTTGGTTATCAAAAAGAAAACAGCCTATTAATCAATTGGCAAGCATACGAATATTTTGTCAGCAATAAAAATAAACAAGCTTCAATTCTCGTTCTGTGAACAATCATGATAATGGTTAGCAATTTAAACATGAATAGGCAGCGTATTTTATTATGTATGCAACAAACAAATAAATAGTCAAGCAAAATAATTATTGGGACAGCAAGATTATACAATTGAGCAGCAAATAAATACATATATGCAGTGTATTTGATTGGTGTGCATATGTATTTAAATTTCGGTAAGCAATTAAATAGGCGGGTTGCGTTTTATTGAAGCCTGCTTGCGTTGGTTGAAACCGAGTAGCGCGGAAGCAAGCACATGACATGATTAGCCAATCGTGTGCGAGCAGAGGCCTTTTACATCTTGCATGATCTTAATATTATATTTCATACATTTTAAATTCACAATGAAAAATGCTTAAAGAATCCACCCGCTTCAGGTACCCCGAGATGGGACCCGAACCCATCCGGGCGCCTGCTCCCCTGGGCAACCCGAGACCCAACAGCATGTTTTGCATGTTGCACTTACGTACGTACTGAACGAAGAGCGATTCAATCCGACCGATTACTCCTCTTCTCTCCTGTCGCCCTTTCTTTTCGTATCGTGTTTGTTAGATAGAAGTATAAATTTGATCAATCATCGACCTTTGGGAACGTCGATTAACCTCCGCAATCACAGATAGACAAACTGTGCAATTGCATGACTAAACATTTGCGATTCTTCATACATTTTATCAGGGCGCGCGATTAGTGCCATATCGTTCATTAATATCGAATTGCGTCGTTAAAGGTGTACTCCATGCTTAAGGTAGAAAATTAATAAATAATCTAATTTAAGGAATGATTTATTTTTTTGAAAACTTAGATAATTTTCTTTACTTAGTTACAGAGTAATTACAATACTTATGGAATTATTTGAGTTTATTTAAAAACTATGAACACGATTTCTATATATAACTACTACAGTGTAAATTGCATCAAATCTGCCCCCTAAATGTTATTAAACAGCCATCATACTAAAACTTATTAGCATTATTATACCAAAATCTATTAAATCTAACACTCCACTAGTTGGTGTTTATACAATGTGTGTCTACAAGGTTATTCGCCGATTTGTTTTCCTCCTTCGTAACATATAATCAATTTTTCTTTTTGTTTAAATTATCTTGTATTACGGCATCCGCCATTTGCTTTTCTGTTTCACTTAGGTTTACAGGGAAATCATTTTTACAAATAGCTTCGCCAAAAGACACTATTTTAGCACACTCCATGATGGAACTGAAATTATCCCTTTGCGTCCGGTCTGATTTTTTATTATTATCAATTATGCGCCATTCATCGACCATTAAGAGATGTTTACTAAGATCCCATCCTGTAATAAATATTTATATATCAATATATTTAATTTTTCACAATTCACATAGAAGCAATATTTTCATTATTTTGTAGTTTGAATAGTTAGAGATTGCGGCACAAACTGAGACAAATCAAATGATTACGTATATAAGGTAATCGAAACTTTATTGCAAAAGATTACAATCTCGCTGGTAGACATCCCTATTTAAACAAGTTGTTATATTAACAAAATAAACAGTTATCCAAACCTGTAGCAAGTAGGCCGCCTCGTACTCTGCGCCATTCTTTTTGTACTATTTTGTCGACATATCTAATAAGATCTTGTGTGGGTTCATAAATAAATTCTCTACGCGCTTTTGGATAATCAGATGGTTCCCGACTCCACTCTGCTGACTGCAAAGTCTGACACACTTGAGCAAAAGGACGTGGCTCCCCATCATTTTTCGAAGACGGCTAAAATTAAGTCATAAAAGAATGTGTAATGTGAACTAAAACTACGAAATACTTTTACTAGAAATTTCAGTACTTGAATTAGCGTCATCAGAATCTATTGACAGTCAAAAAGTATGAAAACGAGACTTTCCATTGCTTATTTGACGGAAGATCACCCGTATACTTCCATTGATAAACTTGACGGTTCATCCGGACTTTGTTCAGACGACAACGTTTTACAACTTACTGCAAAATTAGGCCACGTTTATACGTTTGAACAATATTAATTATTAATAGAGTATGTGCCACTAAGTATTCGATAAAATAAGACGTATTTCGTTAAAAACTTGAAAGAAACGTGCAAGACGATATAGTGTAAATAGGGGGTGAAAGGTAAACCTCGGTGGTGATAAAGAAATTGGCGAAACTACATTAATTTTTAGTCGTACCAACTGATAGTCGTTAATGACGCAGATAATGATGGATAACAGTACAGAATGGAAGTATGAACATAGAATGTCATCCGTAGAGGCATTCTCTTTGATCACCACATGCATTTTTCTCTTGTTAACTCTTGGAAATATAGCATATTTGCGATCCCTGTAGACTTCTTGAACGTTTTGGTACAAGGAAAATTTAGGACTATCCTTCACTAACTCTTTTAAAGAGCTACCCAATCTTATTTGAAATCCACATAACTTTAAATCTGAAATAAATGAAACAGAAAGTAAACAAAAATTACAGTTAACAGCATATCAGGTAAAATAAAACTGTCTAATTTCACTTTAAATTTTAATACATCGATGACCTTATTAAATATAGTTCGAAATGAAGTGCTAAAATTTGACCTATTATTGTAGTAGGTACCTGTAGCGCATTTCTGCTAATGTTGGCGTAATTATAGAAAGTCAATGGCACTTCAACTACAACTACAAACCCATTACGGCACAGGCCTTGTTACGTGGTCACAAAAATAAATACTCCTATTTGTCACCATTGACTTGTGTGGAAGAGAAAGATTGTTTGTTTACATACAGAAAAACCCAACGATCAAACAAAACTCACCTAATAAGTTTGGCCCCAATTGATAAAATATTATTGGTTCTTTTCGATTAATTTCACATGGCGAAGCAATCATCTCCTGTTTTAAATAGATATCAATTGCTTGTAAAAACCTTGGTTCATTCAAAGTTCGTAAACATACAGCTCGCACAGCAAAATAATTGAAAATTATGTGCAGTATCATCATAATTAGGAAAATAGTGAGGGAGTTTCTGAAACAATGGTGGGATTGTATGTTTATGTAGCAGTCTTTTGGTTCACCCATTGGCTGCGACATTTACATTAACAGAATTATATTTATTTAAACCGTTCTAGTCTCAAAAACTGCTGATTCCTTAAGAAAGCTAGGTAAGCAGATTCAGGTGATCATAAAATATTGAATAACTCAAAATCTAGAAATTAATACATTTCATTAAACTAAAACTGTTTCAAAAATCCAATAGCTGTTTTAGCAGGTCATGCGACATTCTGTGATCGTAATTGGTTCTTATTAGGTTAATTTTTTAACAATTAAAATGACACTCACCCAAGAACAGATATAATAAATAACGCAGTAAAAGATGCAATTAGATTAACTGCAGTTTCTTGAGCTGAATCCTTAGCTGTGACATCTGCCATATTACCTCGAATTGCATGGTGTTGAGTCATAGCTGCTCTAGTAGCACCACCTATAAAAAATATCAGTTAGGTCAGAGGTTCCCAAACAATTTTTATTGAAGACCATTTTAAAAAAAATACTGGTTTCGGTGGACCTCGCTTCTGCTACAGTTTTACCATATTCCCAAAATTCGTCCAAAATATAAAAATACCAACTTTTATGTGACGCCAACGTAGACCCCCGTTGAATCCCTCTTGGAGCCCTGGGGTCCAAGAGGGATTATCTGACTTATCCTAATAAGATTTGACAAGAGTTTTATTATGAGAGACCAATCAAGAGCTTTAGATACACAGTAGAGCCACTGACCAAGCTAACTGCGACAGTCTCAAATGTTCCCATTAATAAAAACAATGGGAAACACTATGTTAATACCCTCCAATCCGCATTGGGCCAGTGTGGAGGGTCATGGCCCATCCTCCTTAACCATCCATAAGGAAGGCCTGAACCCCTGCAGTGGGGACGTAAAAGAGCCGATGATGATGATGATGATGTTAACATTATAACTGGATTTTATCAATTCCCTATACAAATTTAATGATTTGATCACTACACTATAAGCTTTTAATTTTCTCTTTATCACTTGAGGAAAGTAACATTCAAATAATGTGAATAGAGCTATGTGTAACAAAACAACTGTTTTAAGTTTCTTATTAGTAAGGGAATTAAACTATAAGTAAGCTCTGACTATTTACTTACCTGCAACACCTACGATAGCTTTCATAACAGTGCTTACACATAAAGCAAATGTTGTGTAATTTTTAAATAGTGGTAAAGCTATTTCTATACACATTGCTGCATCATTCAGGGTATCTGCATACAATCTCCACTTTTTACTGTAAGCATCTAAATAAGTTCTGCAATCAAATAAATAGAACAACAATTTTATTGTATACTTTATACATATAACAATTTTATCACTCAGTTCTAAATAATAAAAAAATCACAAAAAGAATTTTGTTGATAAAGTAACAATACTTCTTATGGTAGTAATGCTTTTACTACACATCTATTAAAAAAAAATTGAATATGCACTTGAAGTCTATTACACATAATAAGTTGATTTTTTCAAAACTGTTAATGAGTCATTATTGACATCAAGAATATGTGAAAATATTCTGTTTAATCCATTATTGTAATAAACTATACATACCCATGGGTAAAGGCAAATAAAATTCTGCCCATATGACCACAGCCATCTTTGATAACCCATGTGACAGTTGCAGCTAGAGGTGTTGCACTTGTGTCCCCTACTCCGACACCTCTCAGAACCTCTTGGGTTGCTAAAGTACCTTCAAAATATTTTATGAACTAAATGAATGCATCACCAAGGAAGAAATAATGTTAATTTATCAAATAAATATTTCAAAGTATCAAATACATTCAGTAATAATCAAACAGCACATTATATTTTCTGTAAATGATGATTTACATAAAATCAATGTATGTATATATATAGGCAACGCGAGTTGGTTGGGAGGAACTGGAGGATAAGAGGGGTATTATGACTAGGTACAAATTTTACTGTAACAAGATGTATAATGAGATGTTTAGTAAAGCATTCCCAAACATTTTTCTTGAAATTTAAATTTACTAAAATTGCAAGACAAAAGATCATCAAATATATAAGGTATATATCTGTCAATGTATTCAGATCATTTCAAAGATATCTTTATTATCATTAATAAGTTAATGCTAGCAATACAATTATATTATTATTACACATAGTTTAAGTTCATATTAAAAACATATCTTTTTAATAGGTACTTAAAATTTGTGTCCAACGAAAAGTCAAAGAAGTCAGGACGGGAGGTCACAAAGTCATCAAGCAAGCAAGTCCAACACTAAGCTTCATACCAAAGTAAAACAGAAATCATTCTAACTTAATGCGACTTTTAATTAGAAAGAACAATGGTTACCTGTTATGGTGCTGCAAAATGCTTGAGCAGTATCCCATATTTGATAAGATAAATAATCTTTACTGACACTATGAGGGTATCCTTGAGGAAGGAATATTTTTGTGAACCAGCTCGCAACATTTGGTACTCTATTTTTATCTAATACTGCAATATAACTTTGTCCTAAAATAAAATTGGTTTTTATATTATGTGAGTAGAGCTTAATACATATAAATTATTATGTTAAGTTTACCTTGTGGTTTTAAATAAAGCCTTTCACTAGCACTGGAACCATACTTTTCTTTAGTTACAATATCAGCATCTTGAATGTTATGCATTTTACGATTATATTTTGCAGTGAGACGTCAATTCGGGAAGATATCAATATCCAATTCTTATATCAAAAGCAGAAATAGGATTTTTTTATATTTAGTATTTTTTTTGTCTTCTTTCACTTAAATACTAAACCTACAAAGAATATTGTTAATTATTTTTCTTTGAATATGTTCTTCGTCTTCTTTTTAATTAATGGCGTTTGTACAAAAATAAATCATTTTTGATAATTTTAGTAGTATTATAATTTTTTGATAATTTTATTCAACAATACAAAGTTTTTTTTTTTATTTATTGTTTTAACGGCACTGGGTTCTTGCCCTTTTTGCCAAACTTATTATCTTACAATCAGTTCATTATAAAACAAGGAAAGATAAATCCATGCACTAAATAGTTAAATTTATATTTTGTATATAATTATATAAAGCTTTATAGCATCTTGTATCACTGAGGAGCGTATGTAAAACTTCACTGTTATTGTCAAGAACATCACTGTCACTGTCACTATTTAGATTTGTTACCTCACTCGCTAAAATCAGTCTATGAATTTTAAAATCTTGCTGTTGGCATTTTAATAATAAATGATTTAAATCGGCACCTTCTTCGTTACAATAAATGCACATAGAGTTGCTGATAATTTTCAGTCTGTGCAGATGGGCATTAGTTTTGCAGTGGCCAAATCTCATTCGGCAAATGGTGATAATTAGATTGCGGTTTATAGATCCTTTAAGTTTTGATGGATGGTACCACGGACGAGCGGGCAATGTCTTCTGTATGTCGTGGTACCATTTCCCCTTTTCTAATGCAATTGCATGCCAATAGTGTACGGTACTTTGCATATCTGACTGTGGTCTTCATCAGGCTTATTTCTGGTGACTTCATCTACGATTTCGTTCCCAGTGATGCCATGGTGTGATGGTACCCACAGAAACTTGATACTTATTCCCTTATTTTGTAATATATATAGTTGGTTCTTTATGTACAAAATTAAATAATTAATGTTATTTTTAAATACCTTACTTTCTAAACTGTTTAGGACACTCATTGAGTCTGTTATAATAATAAAATTCTTATTTTCTACAATATTATCTATATATAAAATTGCTTTATATATTGCATAACATTCAGCAGTATAGATACTGCAGCTACTATCTAATTTAAAACATTTAGTTTGTTTTAGTTGAGGGTCATATAAAGCTGCAGTTACATTATTTGTATTTTTACCAGAAGACAAATGTCTATGTCCTTTTCATTAATAAAATTAACTAGCAAAGGTTTTTTAGAGTTTATACTTTGTACATTAAATTGACATATATTAATAAATTTTTTATCCATTTTTAAGTTTGTCTATTAATACTTCTTTAATAACAGAAGAGGTCAACTTTCTTGCATCATTCCCCAATGCTACTAGTGTACCTACTAATCCTTTAAGAATTATGTCACTTTGTAAAACTTCATTTAGTAACTGTTCAGATGACATAGGTTCATAAGAAGTTAGTAGATTTCATAGTTTTTGCGGGTAATGCCGGAAAAGTAGAATTATAATTATTCATGAGATTATTATCGTTTTTAGTAATAGCGTTAGCGTAAGTTATTTTATTAGTTTTTTCCATAATTTTATGTTTCTTAACAGGACAATCTCTCGAAATTGCCAAATGTTGTCCTCCACAGTTAATACATTTTTTAACTGCTTCACTGTTACATTGAGAATAATGATGTTCTCATGCGCAAATAGAACACTTTTGATTGGAATTACAAACTTTAGCTCCGTGATTAAATTTAAGACATTTATAACATTGTAATAAAGGAGCTATATATTCGTAAACTTTAAACCTAAATATATCTAGGTATACATAGTCTGGTAAGATGTTTGTCAAAAATGTGATACTCACTGATCCGAAGGGCTTTACAACTCCATCAACAATTTTTTGAAATCTACGAACAGTTACAATTTCATATGACGAAGATAATTTCTTAAAGAGTTCCTCATTTGAGATATTAGTGGGTACAAACCGAAGAACACCGATTTTCTCTACTGCTCGTGCTGGAATGTATGCTCTGAAATTGTGGTGATTGAGAAAACTTTCATTTTTTAGAAAATTGTTTGCATTGTTTGCTTGTGAGAACGTTACACCGACTTTATTAGCGTTAATGCGTCTTATATTCGTTACACCTTTAATTTTATTCTTAAATAGGCTTGCTAATACTAGGGGATTCCTGTTGCCGATTTTCTCCTTTTCTACAAAAACACAGAATTCTTTTCCAATTGCATTATCAGGAAATACTCTCGTATAACCTGATTTACTATACGGTTTATAAAAATCTTTGCCCATATCTTTAGAATTAATATTAGTCTCATTCTCTACACTTTCTCTCAGTCTTTTTGTAGGACGATAGGAATCGACCCCGGGGCCGTCACACCCCGGGGTTTTATTCATTTTTATTATTTCTATATCACTAATTACACAATTACACTAAAATGAAATGAAATTATTTAATATGTACAGTATTTAAACAAATTAAAATTTATCTTTAAAAATCGCGCCCTTCTTTTTCAAAAGCCCGCCAAAAAGTCCGTTAGTTATGGCTTTTTTTTTTTTTATTATTGAGCTTAACGGCTCTGGATTCAAGTCCTTTTGAGCCATACATTATTATAGGTATTAATAATAAAATTAAATCTTGACTCCAGTATTGAGAATGAATTTGTAAAGTGGTTTGTAGTTCTTGAATTCTTTTAGTAAGTCTTCGAGTTTACTGGGTACCGTTGTTTTCTTGTGTATTGATTCCAGGTCGCTGACAAGTATTAGTCGTTGTATGCCAAATCGTTTGCATTTCATTACCAGATGTTGGAAATCCTCGTCTTCGTTACAAACTGGACACTTCGGGCTATCTACCATTTTCAGTCTATGCAGGTGAGTGCGAGTCTGACCGTGACCAAATCTCATTCTATTTACGGTTGTTATGAATTGTCTGTTGGGCACTGTTTTTTTGTACCACCAAGGTTGGGCGGGCGGGCTTCCTTGGATCATTTTATACCACCGACCTTTTTCTTCACTAATAAGATTCCAATATTCTTTCCAGAGCAATGTGAGATGCTGGTTTGTTTTGGATTTGAAGTCTGTAAATGGAACTTTCATAGAAGAGGAGTGGTCTTCATCAGGTGTGTTTCTTGTTATTTCATCAGCTTTTTCATTCCCAGTGATGCCACTATGAGACTGTACCCATACGAAATGTATTCTCTTTCCCATATTACTAAAGTTATATAAGAGTTGTTTTATATAATAAACTAAATAATTTACATCATATTTACAGTTATTATTATTAAATGAATTTAATGCACTTTGGGAATCTGACAAAATCAAAAAGTCATTACTATTTATATTACTTATGTACAATAAGGCCTGATAAATGGCATAGCATTCGGCAGTGTATACAGAACAATCTTTAGGAATCTTAATGCATCTAGTTACACTTTGTTGTATATCATAGAAAGCTGAAGTTACTTTATCATCAGATTTTGACCCATCAGTATAAATTTTATAGAAACCTTTGTTTTCAATAAATTGCATTAATTCATTATTATTGTGTAATAAATCTGTATGCAATATAAAACTACAATTTGTTAATGCATTATAATCAAGCTTATATAAAGGCCACTGATTGTCTCTAAATAGGTTGTCATAGAACTTATGTATGTACACTGTTATTGCAAGTAATCCTGGAGTGATTCCAGATTTTAGTAATGATATATTGATATATGAATCTGTTTGTGTATTTTGTAATATTTGTGGTGGTAAAAGCCTTTTCTCTAAGCAATAATTTTTTGATGAAAGTATTTTTATACAGAATCTTTCAGCCAATTGTAACCGGCGAAATATCAAAGGTGGTATACAACTTTCAGTCTGCATGACATGTATGGGTGTTGAACACATTGCACCAGTTATTATTCTTAAAGCCTTATTTTGAATTGTATCTAACTTTTTAAGTAGAGTAAGATTAGCATTCATATATGCCAAACTACTGTAGTCGAAATGACTTCTAACAATGCTTTTGTATAGCATAGATAAGATTTGAGGGTCAGATCCCCAATGTACCCCTGCTAAGGATCGGAGAACATTTAAAGCTTTTGTAGCATTACCTAATATTTTATCAATGTGCTTCTGAAAGTTTAATTTAGTGTCCAGAAGTACACCTAGATATTTGTAATTTTGAACCCATGGCAAAGAAATATTATTGAAATTTATATAACTGTTAATTATGGGGTTTAAAACCTTTTTTGAGAATATCATAGCTGAACTTTTGGAACCACTTATTTCTAATTTTAACTTATTATTATAAAAACTATGAATTTGAAACATTGCTCTATTCAGTTTGTTAATTGCAATATTTACATCTTTATGTATAGTATAAACAAGGAGATCGTCTGCAAATTGTAAAAAATGTACATCTTTTTCTTTTAAAAATTGTTTGATCTGACAGGTATATATATTGTATAATATAGGGGATATGGTTGCTCCTTGCATTGTTCCCTTATAAACTTTTCGTGGTTCGTGAAGTATATTGTTATATTTTAAATACATAATCCTTTCATAAAGAAAATTAAATATCCATTTATTTACTTTTCCAGGAATACCTATTTCAAACAGAACTTGTGTTAGTACAGAGGGATCCACATTATCAAATGCTCCTTTAATATCTAGGAATGTACATACTGTTGCAGAATGACTAAGGAAAGATGATTTTATGTCATGTATTAATGTTGTGAAGCTCTCTGTTGCACTACGACCTTTCCGGAAGCCAAATTGTTCTGCAGGTAATATATTGTTACTCTCTAAATAATAATCTAATCTTACTTTTAACATATTTTCAAACACTTTACCTAAACAGGAGGACAAAGATATAGGTCTATATGAATCACTGTCACCTGCGGGTTTATTGGATTTCAATATTGGAATCACACATTGTGTTTTCCAGGTAGATGGTATCATTTGTAATTCCCAAAGACTATTATAAATGTCGAGTAATTTTGTTTGTGCATTCTTGTGTAATTTTTTAATGAGAATGTAAGTTATATCGTCAAGGCCCGGACTGGTGTCTTTCCTAGATTTTAAAGAAATTTCAAGTTCTTCAAATGTAAATGGTTCTGTAAGAAAATGAGCATTTGAATGTCCATTAAAGTTAAAAGCTGTTTCCAGATTAACAAAATCTATGTTTTTTCCAGGAGCTGATAGTGGTGCATATTTTTCTAAGAAGTCTGAAATCCATTCATCATTCTTTGGCTGTTTCGGGGAAGATGCCCTTTTAAACCTTCTTATGTAATTCCAAATGTTACTTATTGGAGTATACCTATTAAAACTTTCACATAATTTCGCCCAACTATTTTTTTTCTTTTCCCTAAGCAGTAATTTTTTTGAAGCATCTATTTTTTTATACGAAATATAGTTTTCAATCGTTGGATTAGATCTGTAAAAATTTAATGCATCTTTACTTTTTTTGACTGCATCCTTACACTGATCATCCCACCAGGGGGCGGGCTTTTTAATAAGTGAGGGGATATCTTTTTTAAATTTCGGTATATATTTTTCTTTTAATTCATTTAGTATCATACAAAATCTTTCATAGGAGTTCATTGGATTAACATGACTTAAGACAACATTATTAAACGCATTTTCACTTTCTATTGTAAATCTATTCCAGTTAGCTTTACTATATATATATCGTTCATTCGGGGGTCCTACTACGTATTTTTCAATAGAGACCTGAATATCGACAATAGTTGGGAAGTGATAGCTTCCCATAGAATCTGAGTGTACGCTCCAGGTACATAAAGGAGCTACAGAAGGACTTATACAACTAACGTCAATTGCAGATGGATTATAGCCTGGTCGACCTACTGTGGTTGCTGAACCAGAGTTTAATATACACAAGTCACAATCATCAAATATATTGTAGATATCATTACCACGGCTGTTACATGTTAAACACCCAAATGCTACGTGATGAGCATTAAAGTCACCAGATACCATAATTGGTTTAGGTAGATCATTAATGACTTTCTTTAGCTTATTACTTTGGAAGCTCGGTCGACCTTGTTTCGAAGGAGGACAATAAATACATAATAATGTTAATTTCCCAGTGCCTGTATATAAAATTATAGCAACAGATTGTAACTCTTCATAAAATGGAACTGATAATATGGAATATTTATATGGGTCTTTAATTAAAATTGAAACTCCACCACGACCGCCTATACTAATTTGATTAATGCTGTTGTAATTGGGGATACGGAAATTGTGATTTTCTTTAAGCCAAGTTTCATTTAATAAACAAACATCTATATTGTTATTGCGAAGGTAATTAATAAGAAGAGGTTTTTTATTTTGAACACCTTCAATGTTATATTGAGATATTCTAATTAGACCTTGGTCCATTCGTGTTCAGGTTTTAAAGTTTTTATTAAAATATCTTGTATAACATTGCTAGTTATAGCTCTTTCCTCATTTCCAATAGTGACTAGAACGCCAACCAAAGCCTTACGAATAAAATCGTTTTTAATAATTTCGTCTATTAGTTTTTCGTTGGATAATTTTGGTACGGAGTCATTTGTGATATTGTCGGCGCTTGTTGAAGTATTAGGTACCGGGTTCAATCCCTGAGTTTTCTTTGGAAGTGCGGGTCTAATTTTAGGGGTTGGTAGTAGAGGGAAATTATTTTTATAGTTTTTTAATACATCATTCTTATTGATGTTGTCTCTTCCAGACGAAACAGCCTTAGAATAAGATACTTTGTTTTTTTTGTCCTCTATTTTTTGTTTTTTTAACGGACACTCACGAGAAATCGCTAAATGGGGGCCTTGACAATTAATACATCTCATTGTTTTGTCGGTACACTGTGAAAAGTGATGCTCTTCTGAGCAAATTGAACATTTCTGGGTAGATTTACAAATTTTCGCGCCATGATTGAATTTAAAACATTTGAAACATTGTAGTAAGGGTGCATTATATTCATGAACTTTAAATCTAAATAAATCTAAATATATATAATCGGGGAGTACATTTGAAAGAAAAGTTATACTGACAGTCTTAAAAGTTTTTAAAACGCCATTCTCTTTTTTGGTGAATCTGCGAACGGCTACGATTTCATATGGGGAACTTAGTTTTTTAAATAGCTCTTCATTGCTGATACTAGTGGGTACGAAACGTAGAACTCCTATAGTCTCAACTGCCGACGCTGGGATGTATGCCTTGAATTTATGTTTTACTAAGAATTCTTCATTTTGTAAAAAATTGTTGGCGTGGTTAGATTGTGAGAAGGTCACACAAATTTTATTTTGATTGACTCTTTTTATGTTAACAATGCCTTTAACTTCATTTTTGAAAAGATTGGTCGTGACGATCGGGTTGTTGTTTCCTAGTTTTTCGTGTTCTTTGTAACTTTCGACGAAAACACAATACTCAGCACTCACCGCATTATCAGCAAAAAGTCTTTTATATCCGTGTTTGATGAAAGGTTTATAAAAATCTTCCGAAGCATCCTTATCTGCATCGCTCGTTCTGTTGGGAGCTTTTCGTTTTTCGGTCCCGCCGGGCGGGTCATCCCCGTCCGGCATAATTATTTATATTTACAAATGTTAATAATTATTTTACACTATTATTTACAGAAATATACAAAAGAAAAGAAAATAAAATGAAATTATTAAAGAGAGTTTTAAAATTAGCGCCTAGTGCGTTCAAAAGCCCGCCAAAAAGTCGTTAGTTATGGCCTTGTTCTAGTGTGACCAGATTTAAATTGAACATTCTGCTAGCTACTCTTAATATAATGCCGAAATTCTGCCAACAAATAAAATCATCAAAATATTTGACTATCGAACTATGCGGCGATCAGTTATTCTTGTTTAGTAGTTTTATTATTGAGCTTAACGGCTCTGGATTCAAGTCCTTTTGAGTTGTTTAGTAGTAGTAGTTTAGTGTTGCCGTAACACACAGAACCAAAAATATTTATCACTAGTACGGTATGGCAAATATGTTCCCGTAATCTTGACGCCGCACCGCATTCACAGAACACATATACTTCACCGCACTAGTGGTGGTGGTGGGGGGGAGCTCAGTGTGCGCGGTACGGCAATCGTACGTGTTGGCTTTAAGATTATTATATTTAATAATCTTAAATCAGAAAAACATTCCGCCTAATCTAGTAGATCAGAGAAAGGTTGCGCTCTAAAACCGATCCTTAATTATTCAAATAAAGTTTTTATAAGTCTATCGACAAAAATAATTCCCTATATAGGGTCAGGCATCTAATAACAAAAAATAATTGATTCCGAATCGATATCTCTGGATAACATTTCCATGGGTAGTTTGATAGCACCACTCGAATCAACTTGAGCTTATGAATGAACTGCTGTCAAACTTAGAACAAAAAACTCTAAAATATATATAAAAAATAATAATATATATAAAAAAGCTTTTCATGTTTGAAGAACCTTAAAAGTGAAGTGCAAAACACATCAAAAAATTGCATTTGCCCAAATAGTTTATAAGAAAGGTAGACGTAATTATAAATTTTGGGAACCGTAAGGTTGAATGTGTGGTTCCTACTATGGTGATGGAGACAACTGGCAAGGCAGACTAAAGGATAATTGTCTCCCTCCGAGCTAGGTGTTGTTAGCTCGGGGACCGCGGTCCAACTGATGTAGGTTGGACGTTCTATTTATGTTAATTAGTAATGAAACTTATTATGGGCGATGTAGGGTTCTTTGTTCTAAATGCCTTGTAGTTATTAACTTATGCTGTTTGTATTGGTACAGCGCCATCTCGTTACTTGCTGTTGAAACTTATTGCAGTTCGTCTTGTTATCGATACTAGTCTTCTCGCTATCGATTGTTGTGGCGATGTTAGTGCGATGAATTAGATGTCGCTATGTATCAGTCGCCACAGTAGAATTAGATGTCGCTATGTATCAGTCGCCACAGAAATCAACAAAAAACGGATCAAAAAATACTGAATTCGTTGTAAAAATATTGTCATTTTTGATTGTTGCACTGTATCTTAAGTTAATAAGACGATTAGTTTACTTACGTTCACGCCAAGATATATTTCAGACTGGGGCAAAAAATTTACAGATTATGTCGGGTCTAAATCCAAAGTATTTGCAATTCTCAAATCTTCATGTGACAACTCAAAAGTAGTATCAGCATATCCGCTGGATCTTTGTGCTGTGGAATACTCATCTTAAAAAAATGACAGTTTTTTATTTGGTATGGGTATAATATAATCAAGGGCATAAAATTAAAGTTTTATATCAACTACGAAATTGCGGGGTAAAATTCAGCTGAGATATTATTTATGCATGAAGTGATATCCAGCGTATATCGTAATGCTGCAGAATTTTGCTAAAGATAATTCCTGCAAAAATCAACTTTTGGTAGAGTCGCTATCTAATCAGCTGCTTTTTTAAAGCTTATTTTTCTTAAAATACTTCCTCTTTATAAAATTATATCGGTTTCAAGCTACACAGATTTTAACAGATCCTACTACAGATAATAGGTTCAAGGCATCTGGCAACACTATTTCCGCATTTCCGCTGTCAAGCCGAAATTGGTAAATGTCATTTTGATTTATTCTATTTTTAGTTTTTCCTGCTTATTGGGATGTTAATTCTTTTGTTTTTTTTTTCTTCATATTAATTAGTATCTTTATTACATTGTAATAAGAATAATAATATAAAAATGTTAACTTACAGTAGGTTTGATAGAATTATAAGTCTGTGGTGACGTTTTACTCGGGTACTTTCTGTTTAAATTTTGTTTACCTCGATGACGTATTTATAATGCCATCTCTATTGGTAAAAATGTGGTTTTTTCCTGATCCTGATTAAGTGAAAGCAGAATCCTAAAATGGCTTCGAAAGTTGACTTTCAAAAAGGTGAAAATAAGTTGCGTGATCTCGGCATTGTAGTAGAAGATAATATTGGGGAACTCCAAATAGCTGAAAGAAGCGACAGTGATTTCAGTGACGATGATGATAAAGCTGTGGAGGTTAAATCTACCAACAACCATGCTGTTGAAAAGCTTTCAGACTTAATACCAGGCATAATCACATCTAAAACTCCTATAGTACATAACAGTAATAATATTAGTAATTCTGAAAATGTTCATATTGGTGATAAGACCATTATTCATGGTTCTGTTATTATAAAACAAGTGATAAAGAGGAAGGGTATTGACAATCAGTCTTACACAGAAACAGAAAATGAAAACAAACCAAGTACAACATTTCCAGCTAAAACATTATATGAAGTTAAGCGTAAGTAAAAGCTTTTTTCTATTATTTTGGGCTCAGCTTAAGTATCGGCGACTACGCAGATTGTGTTGATATTTATTTTCATACATATTTAATAGGTACTACAGAAGTTTAATTTTCAAAATTGTCAAGGTGCTGAGTTGGTTGGTTTTTGAAATACAATTTTTTGAAGATATGTGAAATTGAAGCTTTTTATATGTTTTATGAACATTGATAAATATTTAAATAAATTGACAAAAGGATATATATCCCTTTACATGCATATAAATGCATTTAGAGGGTGTAATTCATAAAGTCAAAAATAATAATATCAATAATTTTAAGTTGACACCATTAGATTAGTAGTTCAAAATCAGAACTTCAGAAAGCCAACAGTTTACTAAGTTGACAAAAAACAGTTTACTAACAAAGTGTATTAGGTCAACAGCTTACTAGATCAAAATTTAAAATATTAACAATACTAGTATAAACATTATTTAATTAATACAAACTTATATATTTTACTAAACATTTTTTATACCAAGGAGTCACTAGGTATAACAAACAATTGTTAATCACAAATTATGAGATAAAGGAATCACCCAATTTAATCACATATACACTAGCTTAATGCCAGTTATGTCTTAGCTATTTCTGAAAAGAAATATGTATCTAATAGTTTCTATTATCTGGCTGACTGACTAAATAGAGTTTCTTATAACCAGATCATCATTCTTATTATGATTATACCTATAACCAAACTGTTACAACGTATTGTAGGTATCTGATGGTTACATGTTTTCTTTTCTTTCCTACAATATGTAATAAAGAAAAAAATATTAAAGTTATTAATTTTATTTTGTATTATTGAATTTTCGATTTAGTTTTAAGCTTCAATATTTTTATATATATTGATGCTTAAATTCAATATACATCAGTGTTTATTTTATAGAAATTATCATTTTCATAAATGTTGAGTTTGTCTTTAATGCTGTGCTAAGATTTGGCCCCAGAGGTAATCCCTGTAATCGTTGTATACAGGGCTGCATGTCTACATACATTATGGATGCAAAGTCCATAATGCATAGTTGGACATGCAACCTTGTGTAAGTGATTCTGCGTTACTTTCTTAGCACAAAACTATAAAGGGTAGTGCTGCTGGTGAGCACCACTGGGTTACCAAGTATGTATGTGGCTTAAAACCAATATATTTTCAAAGCTTAGATATTTTAAGCCAAAAATAAAAACAACACCTCATACTGGTGAACCTGGAACCTGCACAGCATTCAAAACTTCTAAAAATGTGGGCAATCATTGAGTAGACTGTTTGATACTTAATTTAACTTTTCCAACTCTATCAAATGTCAAATGTTTTAAGATGCCTTATTTGTTTACTAGCTATCTCAAGTAAGAAAAAACTGACTATACATACCGGACTTTAAAATTCTGTTTGCTTCTTAACTGTTTTACTGTGCTTTCACATGTGGTGGGGAGTGTATGTTCCCACTTCCCCCTCCCTCCTTGAGTGCGCCAAAACCTTGGCGTAGTCGCTGATTCTAAAGAAGTGTTTAATGGCTTAGCAATTATATTTCACATAATATTTTTTTTGTTGAAAGCAAAGCGAATTACTTTTATTATGAGTGCTCAATGTGCTGTCATAAGCTTAAGTCAGGGTTCTTTTTGTCTGACCTCAGTATCAAATGTTTATGATTAGAGGTCATCCTGTGTCTTTCTTTAGTCAATATCTTGATTAAGATTTTTCATACCTTAATGTCTTTTGGACACCTTCCTACTATACCAAATACTATGTGTTTTAAAATTCTTGTAAGTTAATACACTTACACAATACACACTGTTATTGATCTTTTGTTAAGATTGTTATGAGTACTCTTCTCCACAGTACTATCGAAAGTAGTTATACATAGTAATGCAATTAATTTCTATATATCAAATTTTGACATTGTAATCTTTTGGGTGTAACTAAAGGACTGCTGTTTTTGAGGAATACTTTGCAACTTACTACATATTCTTTATTAGTTGCTTGTGTACCATCATATACCAATAAGCAATATTCACAACCCACAGGTGGGTAGACACTTATAGTTTGGATATTATTCAAGTTTGTACTCACTCTTCTTAGGCAAATACTGGTGCCAATTTTGTTGTGCCACTTTCTAAATAAAAATAAATTAATTATAATTTATCTTTAGGTACTTCTTTTTTTTTGTAGTCACATGTAATCTTATAAATTTACACTCGTTTTTATTTTAACATCACACATACACTCTATAATGTTTAAAGTTAATGTTTGTACTCTTAGATGTTCATAGAATTGAAAACGTGTGCTTGTGCATTGTACTTTTGCTCTGCGACTGAAAACTACATTAAATAGAGAATCATATCTACTTTCTATACATCATCTACCCACCATTTGTGATAATGTAAATTAGTTATTGTATGAAATAGAATAATATCTTAGCATTTTTCCATTTGGAGGCTAGGGAGATTCGTAATTTGTAAATAACGTTTTTATGTTATGCTGTTAAAACTCGAGATTATGAAGCTACTTTAAAAATAAATGCAATAAATTTCAAGCTATTTATAGTTTGATTCAAAACTACAGTTATAAATCAAAATGTACTTGTTAATTTGCACGTTTTTTTTCTTATGAAGATAGAATATTTTTTTTTTCCATAGTAGATGAAACGAAACGCAGCAAACCGTCATTGGGTCCGAATCGTATTAAGGTAGTGTAGCAAACCGTTATTTTAGGGTCCGAATCACATTCGGATGGTTATCATAGGTATATATTTTTTTTCCCGTTATATGTAGAAAATAAGTAATTTTTTTAGGTATATCACATCACTAGATGGGTTAGTAAATTTCTAAGTCATAGTTAGACATGATTATTTTTCATTTTGGTTGATACATTTGATTTATAAAATAATGGATGTTACAATAAAAACATTGAATACATAATCTGACCTTATTTGTATTGTTTTTAGAACTATTTTTTTCTGGTCTGCATGGTAGTGATGTATCTCTTCATTTTGAAAAATATACAAGAACCTGTCATTTGTGTGGCATAATAGGGTACTTGCATAAAAATTATGATGAGCTAGAAAGTTGAAAATTCATTAATAAAAGTTGTAAATGGTGGCTTGTTGCGATTTTTTAAGAAGATAGATTAGTTTGTAATTTAATGAAACAGAACGGACGTAATATCTGGCAAAATATTCGTCAAGCGTCACATGAAAATATACGTTAGTACAGAATAGATCTTCCGTCAAGTCACACGTGTGTAAGATTGCATTTCGTTTCATATATTTGTTATTGACGTTACGCGACCGACAAAACCGTGGCGTGTTTTCCGTTAGATATACGTCGACCCTTAACTATAGAGTGGTTTAAACGGTGACATCACGTGATGCTTGTTACGATTTTGTGTTTTGGGCTAATGGTGGCAATTTGATATTTTCTTTTATTGGTTTGCATAGCCAATAAAACAGTTGCGTTAGCATAGAAGTCGCTTTGTAATTAAATCTCTCTAAGGTACTATGATTCTGCGAATGTTAAGTCAACATTGAGGTTGTTAATATAAAAATTGATTTCGTTAGTTTGCACTAACGCAGAGCTTGTAAATAAGCGATAGCGAGCGTTAACAAACAAGGACGACGACTGTTGTGACGTCATAGAACTACTCGTATGAACTCATTTTGGCGCGAACATTGGAATATCAATTTAATTGTTTTGTGCCACATTGCAAATTTGACAGAAGATCGTGTTCGGTCCTAGAGCATCTTTTTTTCTTATCTGCGCGTTTTGCATAATTGTAAAGCCATTTTGTCACACCATATAACTACCTATTTGTCAGTTCTGAAGTTCCACAACTAGACAATACGCGACGGACCTTTGGTCACATTTACGCCGACTAAAGCCCGGTCTAGCTATTAAACTGCTATGGGCAAAAATGATAAATATTCACCTCAGAAGTCATGAGCTTGCTAATTCTAAATAAATGTGACATGATGTTAAATTGTTGAAAATATTGCTTATTACGAGAATTTCAGCCCAGATAGATTAATCTGATAAATTTTCTCTCTAGGTGTATCTATACCTATGTTTTTATCAATGTATCCGAACATAGTGTCTCGGTTAATCAGAGCTTTATTTTATTCGTCAAAATAAAGCCCTAATTAATAACTTTGACTAATCTGGGTTGATCTAGGATTGGATTGACCAATCCTTATAGGTCAGTTGATGTTTGAAAGCCGAAATATGATGTTTGGATAGTTCCGCGTAAACAATCTTGGTGACAATATTTGTTGTCCTTATTTTTGCCGCTCTGGGCGATTGATCGGCTTGCCCCCTTTAGATCTGGTCATGGCACTGACATTAATTAAGTAGTGTTCTATATGTGGAATTGTTCAAAATGAAAGCCAAAATAATACTAATACTCGTAGTCTAAGTTTCATGTTGGCTAGATATCTTTATCCTTTTGAAAATAATGAAACACAACTGTTCAGGTAGGTATTTGCCTAGGATATATGTCAATAAAATATTTTCCCACTCTCCGAGTGAAAGTATCACGTATGTCTGAGTTTTTGCCTATATATGTTGATATTACACACAATAAAATTTACATACGTGCTTACACGTGGTGCTATTTCGTGGTTCAGTTTACTTTTTTTTAATAATTTTAATCAATTTTATTGTTATACTTGGTGATCAATATTTTTATACTACTAAATCCTTTAATATATTGCAGCTGACACAATTTTTGATGGATCACCATGGCACAAATTGATACTTTCAATCATAACCGCCATCATACTAGGTATTGTGATATGTGCGCTAACATTTATTATACTGAGCCACAGCCAGGACGACAGGTCCCACTCAGACGATCCAGAATCTTCTGTGAAAGAACCAAGTAAGTGTGCTTTATTGAATTATTTACATCTAACATATATATATACGATTTTAGCATGTGCTTGTTTTATATTAAACTTGCACCGTATTATTAAGCATGTTATGGAAATTAACTCTTTATTTATTATTATATTTTTTTGTCACTGAGTAATCACTGTCATTTTCATTACAGAAGTAAAATTATATTTTTTTGGACGCTTGAAAATTATTTAACCCTATTCTTGGCATTAGGTATTATTTGATAAGTTAACTACCAAAATTTTTATGGTTTGATAAAGTACTTTCCACATTTATATTTATAATATAGTAGAAAATATTCTTCAAAATATGTATATAACAAATTATTATTTCGTTTTTGACTACTGAATCGTTAGTACACATTTTCACGAACCATTTACCTGTGCCTATACAACGTAAGGTAATAAAACTTAAATAATACAATATATTGATCAAATTAATAACACAAATGGTTAGTATTTAAAATGTCATTCTCTTGCTTTGAGTGAGTCCTATTTTTGTACTGTTAAATGCCCAGCAAGGTTATGAAATCAATTGTTATTTTCGAATGTATACATATAATATGATACACTGTCAGATATCAATATTATAAATATATGAAAGTCAATATTATAATACTTTATAATGTGTCTCAAAAACGAGACATTGCCTCGTTTGTTCAGCTTATGTGTTTTTATAATTGTGTCTCTAAATTATATTCATATTCAAGTTTATGATTAAGGCAGTAGCAATAAAACACATCTTGATATCTTTTGGCACTTTTCCCATAAGTACAGTAGTATAATAGTTGTTGTTTTGAATCAAATTAATATAACCTTATAATAATAATTACTTTTATTTAGAAAAAAATGATTGAGAAGTTTCAACTATTTTCTCAACCACCATAAATTATTACACTACACGTGTTTTGTCACTCATAGAGCTTTCTCAGAAGCACTATATCCGTACCCTGATAACCTATGGGGTCAAGGAGATGTCAGCTAAATATTTTAATTTTACAGTTACGGTAATGAATGTTCACATGATAGCGCCTGATTTTATAAGAACTAACAATTCACTTTAACTTTTAAATCGACTGAAGAAACTATAATTTTAATCAATGTTATAATCATCTTTACTACATAACATACTTTACTCGGAGACCCCGCGATTAAAAGTTAGGAAATTCGAGCAGCTTTGATAGTTGCTAAATATCGTTATTTTACTGTTACATATTGTTAATGATTAGGGTCGAAAATCTTCTGGAGTTTGTCAATATTGTATAATCATATATTTATTTCCCATATTGTTGCAAAAATCAATATTCTTGATTCCACAGATTTGAGTAATTTAAATTAGATCTTTGAATAACCTCTTATTTAAACTTAATTCAATATCAATATGTTTATATGTTCTCGTAGGAATATGCTAGTTTTGTTTAAAATATAAAATCTGTAATCTTGGCAATGTGTCAAATATGGCACATACATTTGATAATGTTGATTACCATAAACTTAGCAATGTACTGTATATGATACGTTTATTAATAATAAAGTATGAATTATTAATTTTTTTAGTTGTCAAATCCTATTCTATAGATGCCTAGAAACATATTCCAAGAGCAATAAATAACAATTTCGAAAAAAATATCTTGCCAAGTATAGGGTTAAATAGCTATTTCTCTCAATATGTATTTTTTGGTATATTTACATAGATGCTTTGGTCGTTTTTATTTGGGATATCTGTAAGTGTTGTACAGTCAACAGCACGTCAGGTTACAAAATTGTAAATTTTCTAAACTCAATTTTAAACCTTAAAGTGTTGATAGTAGAGTTCACACTATTAACACTAAATATATACAACGTGTCCCAAAATTCAACGATAAGCGGGCGCCAAGAGGTAGACCTGCTCATGTGTACTTATGGAAAAATAAGTAAAAAATTATATCTTATTAATCTTTTTTATTATAAAATTAAATTCGAAAATCTTCGAAAATTTACACCTTTTATGACATTTTCAACTACCACGACCACAACTTCTCAATTATGTTCAATCTTTTTTTGGTATCGGATACCTAAGTAGCACTACTATTCGCTAAAACTCTTAAAAACACCAAAATGCCCGTAGTTTTTACACAAAAAACAATGAAAATGTATTTTTTCCTTAAATTTTCACAGATTTTTACGTTCCGTAATCTTTGACTTACGGTCTTGTAAAAAAAAGTATGGACACCACTGTGGCAAGTTGTTTTTAAAATTGACTGAACTCATCAAGATTCCAAAATGGTATAAAAATCTAAGATAACTAGTCACAGTAAAAAAATATGCACACCATTTGTAAACCAAGAGTATTCCGGGCGTTGGATTGGGCGTCTTGGTCCTATCTTATGGCCACCCCGATCACCCGACCTAAACCCCCTGGACTTTTTCTATTGGGGTTGTCTCAAAGACAAAATCGGCAAGAAATTAGTCAGGCTGCGTCACATATCAATGCTAAAAGGTATGCACGAAAAATAAAACGCTCTTTTTTAAGGCGATGTCGTGCATGTTTTAATGCCGGTGGAAAACAATTTGAACATTTACTGTAATGTTAATTATTAATAAATGAATGAGACTAAAACTCACTATTGTTTTATTTCAATATTTTTTTTTTAAATATTAAAACATTTCGGAACAGTACAATTTATTACTCACAACTTTGGTTCTTGATTCTAAATGGTATGATTTTTAGATTGTTGCTAGTTATCATGAAGTATTATACCATTATGGAATCTTCATGAGCTGCGTCAATTTTAAAAACAACTTGCCGCAGTAGTGTCCATACTTTTTTTCTACATGACTGTGAGTCAAAGATTACGGAACGTAAAAATCTGTGAAAATTTAAGGAAAAAAATACATTTTGATTGTTTTTTGTGTAAATACTGTGGGCATTTTGGTGTTTTTAACAGTTGTAGCGAATATTAGTACTACTTAGGTATCCGATACCAAAAAAAGATTGAACATAATTGAGAAGTTGTGGTCGTGGTAGTTGAAAATATCATAAAAGGTGTAAATTTTCGAAAATTTTCGAATTTTATTTTATAATAAAAAAGATTAATAAGATATAATTTTTTTCTTATTTTTCCATAAGTACACATGAGCAGGTCTACCTCTTGGCGCCCGCTTATCGTTGAATTTTGGGACACGTTGTATATATATATATATATACGATATATATATTTAATGTTAATAGTTAATATATACATATTTTAATTGTCTTTCGTGCTGTTGTGTGTACACAAAGAAAGGCTAATGTAATATTTTATCGCACTATAAATTTGTGAATTATTCTGAATTTGTGAAGAACAGTTATTCTGGAGCGTATTCGGTTTAGGAATGTTTATAGCCGATGCTCCGAAAATCGAGATAAAAGTTTGAGTTAGATTATATTGAGTTTTCTGTTGCACCTATCTCTAAACTAATTTTAACTTGAATTTGGTCGTGTCCAGCCTAGAATATCACCACAATATATTCCTCAAAAAAATTTTGCCAATTGTCTCTTGGGTAGGAGCTTTTTAGTTCTTGCCAATGGATGTCACGTCACGAGGACCGAATTATCGTAAGTCGAGAGTAATATAGGTGTTTTGTCAATTGAAAAAAAAAATTAATGGTACACCATGCAGACGTTATTCTGCGCTACACAAGCATAATTGTGTGTTGTCTTAAATAATAAAAATATTTAATAATCTGTTTTATAGTTTTGCTACAAAGCGACATTTTTTTCTATGAATATATAATGTACGAGTAAAAATATAATTAAAGTTCTTTTCAAACATTTACTCTCATCCTGTTTTAAACTTAATTCTAAAGAATGTCTTTGCTGTCTGCTCTACAAAATTTTCCACGAGTTATACGAGGGTCAAACTGAAAGTTCTTAGAAAATCAAATACTGATTACATTAGCCAGTTATTAGTTTTATTATATCTTTTCAAAATATTGTCCATTCACGTCAATACACCGCTGCATGCGATGGAACCACTGGGAAAAGCACTTTGCCCACTCGTCCTTAGGGGTCTCTTCAATGGCATCGCGATACGCAGCCACCCGCTTCTTCAGCATTCATAAACCGCTTTCCTTTAAGTTTTTCTTTAATTTTTGGAAATAAATAAAAATCACAAGGCGCGAGGTCGGGGCTATACGGCGGGTGACCCAGTAATTCAACGTTTGATGTCGCCAAATAGTCGATCGTTCGCTTAGCGGTGTGCGACGAGGCGTTGTCGTGGTGAAGGAGGATCCTACTGCGAGGTCGTTTCTCTCGAACTTTTTCCAAGACAAGTGGCAAACAATTGGTAGTGTACCATTCTGCAGAAACTGTTTTTTGATCCTCTAACACAATTGTTGCAAAATGACCTATCCTTCCAAAGAACGAGGCCACCATTTTTTTTCCCGCACTTCGATCTCTCTTCACTTTAGTTGGCAACTCCTCGAAAGGAAACACCCACTGAGCAGATTGTCTTTTGGTTTTAGGATCATAACAGTAAATCCAGCTTTCGTCACCTGTTAGTATGTCGAACACAGCATTTGAGTCACCTCCGTTAAATCTTTCAATCATTTTACGACACCAATCCACACGATGGAGTTTTTGAGCCTCAGTCAAATTATGAGGTATCCACCGGGCGCAAAGCTTCCTGACCGCTAAATGTTCGTGGAGGATTTTTTGCACTTGACTCATACCGATGCCTAAGCTTGTCCGAATCTGTTGATAGGTCACTCTTTTGTCAGTCTCTATCATACGCCGCACAACACAGATGTTATCTTCAGTCGTCGCCGTAGAAGGCCGTCCCTCACGTAAATCATCAGTGAGATTAGTGCGACCACGTTTAAACTCATTAAACCAGTTGTAAACAGTCGCACGAGATGGGGCTTCATCGTGAAAGGCCAATCGTAGTCTATCATAACTTTCTTGTTGACTTAAATGACATCGAAAGTCATAAAAAATCATTGCACGAAAATTTTCTCGTGTTAAATTCATGATGACGTGACACAGACAATTTTCAATTTGCCGCCAAATCGTAAAACAAATGACAAATGAATGAAATATATACTCAGTAATATTGGCAAAGAGTTATATTTTCAAATTTAAGAATTATTTTTTTATTATATTGTTTATAAGTGGCCAGTTCTAAGAACTTTCAGTTTGACCCTCGTATCCTAGAGGTTGGAGAGCTTTTGAATGAAAAATAATTTTACATGTTAGGGATTGACCACTTCAGTAATATTATTATCATAGTATTTTATATAGTGTGAACGGTTTCTTGAGGCAGCGTTAAGATTCTGTCAATAAAATTTATATGCTTTTCTGCACTAACATATGATAATATGAATGTATTAAATAATAGATAGTGACAAAAGCGACTTTCAAAAGCGACTCTGAATATACTTAGTTATAATTGTAATTAATTGTATTTGAAAACTACCAGACATTGCAGAGAGAGAGAAAAAAACATATAATAAAATATATTGAATTTAGAAAAAAAAAACAAAGCATTTTGTGTTTTTTAAATTACACTGTATGTGTTTGTAATGCAAGTAATATATAATTTATTTCTCTTAATTTTGTATCTATTGAAACAGCACCCATTGTTGTACCTAATTATTTTGTGGTGTTTTCATTTCAGGCTATACGAAGGTGGTGGGGATATTTTATGAGAATTTTCAAATTATATTTACAATCATTGTGATGCCAATAACAATATTGTTAATGTTATATTCACTACTAACATGGCAAGTTTTGGATGGTGATAAGAAAACACGAAAAGGTCCCAGTTTCCAACATTGTATCTTAGATTATCCGCAGGGTGATTTCAATTCCAGCATTGAAAAGTCTAAGATTAAAGGTATGATTTATCAGCAGGGAAAATGGATATCTCTCTTTTGGTCGTTTCCTATGTGTGGGTATTCTGATCTTCCTATGAATCTGTTTTCGATTACTCGTCTTTTGGTAATTCTATAATAGTTATCTGACTTCTATTATTGAAAACTTTAATTTCTTTTAGAACAGATCCGTACGTGAACTAAGATGAAAATAATTATTTTATTCATAGCCAGTCATGATATCTGCTTGGCATTTCATTAAGATACTTAGTTGATAACTGAGAGTTCACTAAAATTCTCAATCAAAATGGTTTATCGCCTTAATGAATGAATGATTCAAAATCGATTGTAGAAATTTGACGTTGTATGGTAACCTGATGTATTATTGTTTTTACCTGCCAACACTTGCATGCATACATTTATTTTTAATAGATTATAGTTTACCAACATACAGGTAAAATTAGTAATCAGTGCACAAATTCTAATATTGTTTTCGTTACTGTAAATCATATTAACGGAGATAAAGAAGTAAGTAAGAATGTGTGAATGTAGACTATTTATGTTCATTATACTATAAGGTTAAATATTGATTTTTGGCGATATATCTATAGTTAGTTGAGTACATATTTAAAAATTATGCACTGGTTGAAAATTTTGCCTGTTTAGACGGCCATATGTGTGGGACGGGTATGTGTATGTCAAAAGTAAGTAGTAGATTTCACATTTAAGGGATGACTTCCTAGTAACTCTAATTTCACTTCAACAAAACAAAATCAGTAAAATTATAATTTTGGTATTAAGATGAATTTATATTGCATGCAGAGATTATTTAAAATGCTGTTATTGGCTTTTTGAAATGCTGTTATTGCATTCAAATTGTTGTAGAACACTATATGGCGATGGGGTTCAATATGCCTGTTTCAATTCTCTAATATTAAGGCATCAAAAGTCCCATTATTTTTTTATTCATTTGTTTTACATGCGCGCATTATAAACTCTTCTATAATGGTAAGATTTTTTTATGAATACGTCACATTTTATATGAAATTTTTTTCAACCTAATATAATTTAAAGTAACTGTTTTGTTATAATTCTTTTGGTATACAATTATTTTTTACATAATGTATAAATGTAAGAATCGATCAATTGGTTAGATTAGAATTGGCTAAATTAGAAAGCTAGCCGAGCGAGCGAAGCGAGAGTGCCGTTGCATCGGCCTGCAAGCGACATATAGGAGCTAATGTACACTTTAGGATATTATGTTTAAATATTATAATATATAAAGATATCACAATAAAAAATATGTATTAGATGTAATTCCGATAGTGTTATACGTAAATATAATTTTAAACATTTTTTTTTTAAGTTTAAAAGGACAAAGGTATTTAAAAGTTTATTTGCTTTTAAATGTACCTTATCATATCTACTAATGGTTGGGTGGACTAATAAGCATGATTTACAATTTCAGTTAGATAGTAGTAAAGATAGTATCATGTGTTTATAAATAATATTTGGGATATTATCAGTGTTGCGTTCAACAGTTCAATTACTATCTATGATATCGTTATAGGTACCTGTTTAATTTATCGAAATCTGTTTTTCCGCTCATTTCGTTTTCCTAGAACCACTTCCTATATCCTTGAGTTTTATATTTTGGCCTCCAGTAAACCTATGATGTTTAATTGAAGATCTTTAATTGCAGATGATCCATTGTTAATTGCACCTAATCACCTTAGGATAGTGTCGAGAACGGATTGGCTTGCACAGCCTGTAGAAAGTGAATTATCTAAAATAAAACAACCGGTACCATGGGTAATAATTACGCATACCGCAACGGAGGGTTGTCATAGTCAAGTAAGTGCTTATCGCCGATATTATAATAGAGGCTTAATGATATTGCAATAGATAAACATTTAGTTTTATAAAAGTCTAGAACTGCTATCAGCTCTTAGGTTCACAAATAATGTGCCATTTATATATGTGGGATCTTATTTGCGAACGTATCTACTGTATCGTATTTTTCTTTACAAGGGAAGGAGATCACAAAATCCCAGAAAGTGAAGAAACATAGAACATGTTTTTTCTTTAGATTCTAATCAAATTATCATCATATGGGAAGAGATTATTGCCCTTTAGTCTATTCCAATAGATATATATGTCGTGGATAAATCGTAGAATTTATCAATTCGTGATACGGCCGGCCATTTCATAAAATAGAAAATCTTTCTGCCCACGTCATGATGTGGCCTGGTCAGATTAATTATTAATCTGTGTTTAATAATATAGACTGCTGATTGTATGACTGCTGCATGATTTGGCCAAGCATTAGTGATCATATCGTAAAATTGTTACATTAGTCTCCGTTAGAGGAGCTGATGTCGTATTGATTTTGTAATACATGATGAATTTAATTTTTTTGATTATATAACAAATAAAAAAACGGTTGGGTGACCAAGTATGTTACAGTAAGATAGAAAGTGAATCATATCTTTTATTTGTTGTAAAATCTAAAAAGTGCTTATAGACATTTATTGTTTTTACAGAGTCAATGTGTGCTGCGCGTCAGACTGATACAGATGTTCCACATCGAGTCTAAGAATTGGGATGACATAGCGTATAACTTTTTGGTGGCGGGCGATGGGTCTGCGTACTACGGTCGTGGCTGGGATTACATAGGAGCTCACACACTCGGCTATAATAGATACAGTATAGGCATTGCCTTCGTAGGCACATTCAATAGTGAATCCCCACCGGATAAACAAATTGAAGCATGCCAGAAATTAATAAAGCTGGGAGTGCAGATGGGCAAGATTAGAAAAGATTATAAGTTGTTCGCGCACAGACAGTTGGCGTCTACTCTTAGTCCTGGCGATAAGTTGTACGACATTATTAAAGAGTGGCCGCATTTTGTGAAGGAAGGCACAAATATTGCGGATTTGACACCGAAAGATTATTGAGCTGTCATGTTGATTTTATATCGTCACAAAGTCAGTTTGTTCATAGTGACAACTGGGTTTTGTCAAATATAAGGCCCGGTGCATATCTAATGATAGATGCGTCACGTTCCGTCTGTCGCAGTTGGTCAGAACTAACAAATATATGATATGACATTCAGTTTTGCACACTCAACGTATGATCCGTAGCGTACTAACGCATACTTCCGTGATTCTTGACGGATCTTTCATCCGATTTGCCCAAACGCTAAATATTCTTAAACGTATGTATGTTTTGTGTGAAAAAGAAAAAAAAAAACATATATGAGACGTACAATGTAAATTGTATGGATGTGATTTATTACTTTATTCATATCTATAAAAGCTTTACACTCTATTAAAATAGAGGTGTGATTGAAAAATATATGTTTTTAAATTATCATATTTATTAACAAAATATTATACTGCAAATTCTAGTCATATCCCTATGTATGTTTATATCTTTCAAACTACGCAACGGATTTTGATGCGGTTATTTTTCATAGATATAGTGATTCAAAAGGAATGTTTTTATGTTTAACTCAAGACCACGCGGGCGAAGCCGCCGGCGGAATCTAGTTTCAAATATAATAAAATGTAAGAGTTACGTGCTACTCTTAAAAAAAAAAACCAATGCAATATTAATATATATATTATATATTTTTGAAATTTGCTGTGAAATATATATTATATATTCGTAACATTCCATATACTTTTATAATTTATTGTAATTTGGCAGTATAATTTATTGTGGTAATAATGTGTGTAGTATCTACAAATACTTGGGCAGTGCCTTTGTCTTCATATCACCAATTTGAATTTTGAATTAACATTGTCAAAATTCAGAAAACAAATCAAAAATATATTTATGTTTGAGGCCAAATAATTATTGCCAACTGTTGTTTACATTTAGTGCAAACTGTTGTAGCCAGTGATAAAGGGCAACTGCTTTTTTCCTCCCACGAAGTTCTTTTGAATTGCCATCTAATAATATTTTTTTATTAATGTAAACTATGTCTGATTCATATAATTATAATATCTGTGTATATACTTACTTTTCTCATGGAATTGAAAATTAATAGCAAAATGTGTTTTCTGTTTATGTCGACATTTCGATCCCATTTTTGTGAATTGATGATTTTTATTTGAAGTTCATGAAGTATGAGTTAATATTGTGTTTAAGGTCCATGTTAATTTAAGATATGGGTAGTAGTGGTGTAGGCGCGATTTGTGTGTTATAATGCTAATTTAGTAATATCTACTTAATATTCATTTAAAAAATGTGTAAAAATTTTGGTTTCGTATCTAGATATTTTATGTGGTAAGTAAGATATTGTGTAATAACAAATAGAAAAGAAAATAATAAAAAATAAGTCAAAAAAGTCTAATAATTGATTACAATATTCTTATATTGTTGGATCAAAATAGTGTTTCAATGGGTATGATCGGTAAAACTAATCGTAGATGGCGTTGTCGTAGATTTACAAATAAGCACAAAAAAGCAAACAGCCAATCGATTATTATAACATGTATCATTTAAGTTATATGCATCAGTATTAGCACGCTCGAGTCTTATATTTTATTTCTTTTCATGTTATATGTCTTTTGGGCGGATGCGTCATTTTGATAGTTATCTTCCCCATAAAATTCTTCAAACGATTAGGCACGTGTATTTGTAAATAGCTTGAATCAAAATATTTCCTTGCTACCTCGTGAGGCAGCTCATTATTGAAAAAAAATAATGCTGTACTGTCCCGCGATTCTGTAAAAATAAAACCAGAATTCGAATTCACTCAAGTTTCAATATTTATCAGGTTTCAATATAAAAAAGCGGCATCCGCTCAATCTTGAATTGGTGATAACGTTTCGTGGGTGAAGTGAGTTTTAAAATTACATAGGAATGGAATATGTGAGACACGTATAATCAATCAATTTTGTTTTGTATTTTTATACAAAAAATGGAATCAATAGAATTTCTTCTTTAAATTACATGAATTCGGACACATGAGAGAATCAGATTTTTTTTTTTACAGAATCTGTATTAATTTGTTTTTCTGTAAAATACACCTTATTTTAATTGAAACAAAAATAAATTGCCTTAGATCGTTAACTAAACAGCTAAAGTGCAGGAGAATTGAAAGTATATATAATTTAATAAAATTATAACTTGTTACTTAAGATTTATATATTCTTTAAAATTCAATTGACCGTGAGACGGTTTTAATCGCAAGTAATTGATCTCTACAATATCTTTAAGTTACCATTTGCTCATTTATATACATGTATTAGATATATTTCATATTATGAATCCATATGATTGTGTTAATTGCATTTAAATAATATGTACATGTCGCTTCAAAAGCTTTATATAAAAGAATATGAAACATGAATTGAACCAAAATATTTGGATGAAACTTTTGGTGTTTAAGTTTTTGTCTTTCGATTTTGAATTTAGGAAATGTTACTAAATATATCCGTCGTACGTAAGCTTTTTTATTAATCGAGGACATAGGCATGTTTGTGTCTAAAATGTATGTTGCAATTAAGTTTTTCGATGGTATTTATCCCATTAAGGTTATCTATGATTTCTTTCTAAATATCGTTATGAATAACATTCAGCCAGTTGCACAAACGCCCCTAAAATTTTCATTAGTTTAAAGGGTTATTACCCATACAAATTTGACATTCATTAGGACTTAAAAACGCCATTAAAACTGAATGAACGTTTGTGCAACTGACGGATTAAGAATAATTGGAACCTACTTAAGATTTTTAATGTTACCAATTTCCTAGTGTAAGTTGGGCTTATCCACAGAAAATAGAAGTTTTAATATTTATCAAGTCCATAGGTTAAAAAAAATTATCTTTTCGTGATTTATTGTAAACCAGGTTTTAAAAGCATTCCTAAATATCTCCACAGATATCGAAAGTATATAGTTGCCCCGCTTTTGTATGATTATTTTATTTAGTTCTTTTGAATAATTTTATCTCATGTTTAAGCAATCCGATATCTGTTTATGAATCTTAGTTGCTCCTGTATTTCCCTCCCCAGTTTATCTTTATAATAAAAAAAAGGAATGAGAAATGAACCATCATAAACAACTATTTGTGTAAATACTTGAAAGTGACATATCTTTAAATATGTTTTATTGTAAATAGGTAGTTTTAATTATCTTTTACCTATATAAATATATATTTGTATTACATATCTAAGAGACGATTGAACAAATGTATTTTTTAAATAGTAAGAATCGTTAAGTTAGCTTCTTGACACTGTGCTGTTGCTATATATGTCGTTTATGAATTTGTATTCATAATTAAAGAAATGAATTGACACATTACTTGTTTTAGATATAGTTTTAGCATAGTATTTCGTTTGTTTCTGTTAGTACTTACAAGAGGTCAGTTGCACAAACTATTAAGGTTTAATGACGCTTTTAAGCTCTAAAGAATGTCTAATTTGTAAGAGTAATGTCGCATTAAACTAATGTAAAATTTAATGAACCTTTGTGCAACTTTATGTAAGTTTAGTGTATTTTGTAAAAAAAATAACTGTCAAATAGGTAATAACGCTCTACTCCCAAACGCGGCGTGTTTATTTACGTCTAATGAAGTCAATTAACCAGCAGTAAAAGTTGATATACCAGTAACTAGTGATATGAATATCTTAGATAGATTGATGATTTAGTCAGCCTAACAAATCAAAACACAGTGGCATAGCGTGACTAATCAGAACAATGTGATAGAAATCAGCAGTATCTCTTTCAGAAAGTCTTCCCACTACTATTATATCTACTCCCGTGTTTTTTGCTAAATATATTTCATTGTTGTGATCATATAAATTTTCTACATATTTATCGTATCGTGTAAAGTACGGTCGCCTAACAGAAAAAAATCATGCCTTTCTGCCTACCCATAGGTATGGTAAATATTTTAGTTCACTTTACTATGACTAAATTGGCTAGATGCATATGTGCGAACCCAATATCAATATGTTTGCGCACGAGTAAAAGAGATATTTAATGGAGTCATTGTCATCGTTTAAATTCTTACTGTTCGGCGACTGTACAGCAATCTAACGGTAGCGGTTGTTGAAGTGCATTAAGTCAAAAGGGCGCAGATAGACCGCGCTAGACCTTTTTTAGCGAGATGTGAACGATCAGCAGTATCAAGTGTGCCATTTATATTGAGTTTTGTTCCATTAACCATAAGGTTAAAATACTACAAATATGTGTACCTTTTATTTACACTCAGTATGCATGTGTCATGCGCGAAGTCGCCTAACATTGGTATGCCCAATTAATTGTATCGTTATACTATCACTGCTTAAACAATAATAATAACGGCCTTTTAGCCTGATACAAATACCAACTTTCAGTATGGAGATCAAACATTAAAACATAACAGCTGTTTTTATATTATTATGAGGGTATCATATATTTCCTTTTTAATATATGAATTAATCCAACGACATTTTCTTACTGATTATTAGTAAAAAAAATAATAAAAATTCTTTAATTTCTCAAGGGCATGATGAGCAAAATACATATAAAGTGACTTCTACGTATTTTCACGCTGTTACTTATGTTACTTCCATGAAATACATAAATCTTCTGTATATTATATTTCGAAACTCATATTTTTATATAACACGGACAATAAATATTTAAAAAATATTTGTAAAAAATCAATAATATTAACAATGAAATACGACTTCAATCGATATTATTATATTGTGTTAAGTATATTTTGTTTTGAATCTAATGAAAATTTCCATGGGAATATTGCATACCAATAGCCTTATAATTATTTATGAAGCAAAAATATATCACGCAATATATGCAGCAGACTTGAGGTAAACACTACTGAAAATCATTAAAAATCTCAGAAACACTTTAAATAAAAGTTTTATCATATTAAACTACCAAAAAAGAAATTACAAATAAAGTTTAAAAAAAACTATTTCCTGTAAATCTTTTAGTTGGATTTCAGTAATTTTGATTGTCGCTATGATAAATAAAACCAAAATTTGTGAAAAAAGTCGTTTTAGTAATTTTGCGTGACAGAAATGAAGGTTTTTTGACTTGATGTTTTTTTTATACCTTCCGTAGCTAAAATGAGATGGATTCTTAAATATTGCTTCACAAACTCAAATAAAAATATTCCAGGCTTATATCGAATTATTTCCGTTGTTCTCGTATTTGTATCAGGCTATTTTATTTCAGAATTATAAAACAACGATGTACATTATTACAAATATGAA